TGGTAGAGCACTTGTGTAGAAGAAATCTAATGGTTGAAATAATTGATTGAGTCTTTTGATAGTTATATACCTCATGGTCTATTATTTCGATTGGTTAGAGCTTCGTGCCGATAACGTGTTATGAAACAAGTAGAAATAATTGGAGAATTGAAGAGAAAGATGATAGAAAAATGAATTCACTATAAAATAAATTGAATACAAGAGATAACAACTCCAAATAATCGCTCGTTCTCTCGCAAAATACTTATATATTAACTAATGAACAATGAAGTTTATTTATAGGCTTCAAGATTAAGCAGAGAATTGGAATGGACTATAAATCATTAAAAGATGCATGAATTGCATCATCCTTTCAATTTCTCATATTAAATACTGAATTGAATCACATTAAGAATAATGAGTAATGAGAATATGAAATGGTCATGAACATTCATTATTTTATAATATTTTTAATATAATTTATAAAATATCTATAATATTTTATAAGAAAAAAAGTGATTTAAAAAGTTCAAGATCAAAGGGGTTAAAATATTTTTTTTAAAAAAAAATAATTACCGAGTGGGATATTAAAATGATGTAGTTTTTACATTTCAAGTAACGATCAATTTACACATAATGAAAATTAGATAATTTATATCATATTATTTCAATATCTAATACTTTAGGATTTAAATTATGCAATTTGATATTATGCATTCGAAATTATCAAATTACAATAGAATAAAAGAAAAATTTATCATTAAATCCATTCCAAACATTATCAGAATTCTAAACTCGGGTTGCTGCAATTTGAATCTAATGTTTGCTTTTTACTGTCTCATTCAAATCCCAAAATATAATCAACTTATTCGACTATTTCTATTAATTTCTGTCCCTACCGTTTTTCTTGGTAGTGTAAAAGTGGGTCTGAGTCTTGACAAAATCTTCAAATATTTGTCAAGTTTTCAACACGCCAAATTGAAATGACTGAGAGGGAGCCTGGTTTGACTTAGCACCCTTATAAGATTGATGTTAGGTATCATAGGTATTTTTGGGAAAATTTTAATTGGTCTCTCTCTCTCTTTTTAATACATGTCTTGATTTCATCTATTTTTTTAATGTGTATAAATTAACTCTTAATTTTAATTTTGTCTTCTATCCATTTTCATCTATAATTATGTCTAAATTTCAATTATATCCTAAATTTCACAAACATCTCAAAATTACTTACTAGTAGAAAAACCAAAAGAATAAAAATAGCAATAATAATAATAATAATAATTGAAATTAACAAAAAAATTGAACACGCCAGATTTCACTAGCCAAAGGTTGTCGGCCTTTGGAAATCAATGAAAGAGAAGCTGGTTGAACTTCTACAGGTCCATGGGCTTAGGACCCTTGCAAGATTGTTTAAGGAGGAATCATGGGTCTATTTTTTTTTTTTTTGGTAAATTTTAATTTGCATTATAAAAATTATGGTACCTCTCAATTTTACTTTTAAAGTTTAGTGTGTATTAATTAACCCTTTTAATTTTCATTATAGTTATAGTCACAGTCCATTTTTTTTTTTTTGTAATAGTAACAAAAAAATATGTGTAAGTTTCAACTTAATCTCTAAAGTTTATGAAATATTTCAAAATCACTTAATAAAATAAATATGAGAAAACTTAAACGAATTAGTTGCTGAATGAATCTCCAAACCCTACAATTTCAATTCTCACACAACAACAAACTTCATCTTTTTTTTTTTTTTTGGTCAATAAAATAAAAATCAAGGCTTAAATGAATCTGATTCCTTTTCTTTAATTTTTCTGCTAAAACCTTCAATATTTTCATCCACCTCTCTCGATTCTCTCACCATCTTGTTCCCTTTCTTCTCTAGTAACATCATCATAAAGCACGTTTGGTATGATTAATGGCATGCTAATATTTGCATACATTTATGTTTTAGGTGATATTGAACTTATCATGTTCTCGAAGTGTCATTTCAACTATATGGAATTTTAATTTTTTTCAAAAATTGATAGCAAAATTTAATAAAGAGTTTATTATACCATGTAAATATGATAGTGCTAGTGAAGATGTGCATTGGTCATAATGGTTAATGATGTTAATAAAAGCAGTTGTCTTGATATAAGATTGTTAAAGGAAGTAAAGCGGACGAAAAGAAAATTTTTTTACCTTATTTATTTTATTAAAAAGTATCTTTTTTTATTCATTTTTTATTTGTATTTTTTTGTTAATTTTGATTCATTTACTTATTTTTAGTTTTTAGTGCTTTTTTGAATATTGAGATCCTCCATAAATTCATATACTTTAAGGATGAAATTGAAATGATATATATATTTTTTATTATTATTGCTATATAGGTATTTGGATAACAAAAAAAGAAAAAAGAAAAAAGGGATGATGTGGGGAAATGGAACCTATAAAGAATATAAATGGAATTGATTGATACAAACAAAACTTTTGATATGAAATGGAGAGACACTCCATAAACTTAAAGAAAATGAAAACTTCCCCCTTGTTTTTTTCAATTAGCCCCGTGAGTACAACACTCAAAACTCCATTCATCCATTGATCTTATTGTTCAAAATGAATCTTGAAAAAGATTGATTGATTTTTTGTTTTTCAATTAAAATGCATCATTACGGACCCATTTAAGAGGTGATTGATCTAAGATATAGGAAGGGATTTAGTCTCTTCGATTGAATCTTAGAAGGGGGAAGAAGTGCAACAAAATAATTTCTTATGAACGAATATCCTTATGGAATCATAAGAAAGCAGAATATAGGGAGGTTTATTATTATTATTTTTCTAGTCATCATTAAAGTATAGTGACGTGGGAGAGCAGCATTTAGCCATATAAAAAACGAGGCGGACAGACAGGAAGATGGAATGGTTGCAAAGAATCCACACGTTCCTTTGACAACCAAATCCAAAACAAAGAGCCGCTACTGGTTTCCCATACCTTTCTGTGTGCCTCAGCCTCCGCAATCACTTGTGCTACCCCACACACAACACGTAAAACAAACCCGTTATAGTTGTTGTTGATGTGTTTCTTTTTTTCCCTCTTACTTCGTTTTGGAGTTGACTCGGATTAGCAAAATGCCCTTTCTCTTTTCTTTTTTTTTAAAAAAATATTTTATACAAGTCTTACAGTGTCCAAACAAAATTTGAATAAAAAAAGACTTTTGAAATTAATATTGAGCTTTTAAGAGTTAATTATTATTTTTTTGTTATTCGAGATATCACAAGTTTAGACTAATTTATCTCTATTCTATTAATTATACAAAACAAAAAAATATATAGAAAGGTGTTTATCTATCTATAAATTTAAATTCAAAATTATTTATTTAAACAATTAAAATTTTTTCTACTCAAACCAATCTTATAATATTTTAAAAATTAATTAGTATTTTGTGAATTAGGTAGAAATAGAGTAAAGACATTTGAATTTGAAAGAAGCGGCATTGTCTGGTAACACATAATTGATGCATAATAACAAGTAAAGCATTGTAATATCAACTCTAAAAAAAAAAAAAAAAAGAAGAAGAAGACATATTCAGTTTGAGGTTTTTTATTTAAGTTTTGGTATTAATTTATTTAAAAAATAAAATAAAAAATAAAAATGATGCATTTAGGTGTTTGATCATTATTTTTTTATTTAGGTATCTTTAAATTTTGGATTTGACTCTTAAACACAAAAAAACTCTTTTAAATATATGAGAAAGTTTTATAATAGACAAGGAGTAGCTAGTGGCATGTACAATAGTTATTTCTTGAGTTCAATTTGATGAGAGAGATAGACATATAAAAAAAGAAAAATTACATCCATACTCATCAAAAGTGATAAAGAAGATTTCCACGTCCGCTCAAATTTTTTTTATTTTCTCTTTTTATTTTTATTGTCTATCTCTCTTCTCAAAGTATGTCCAAGGAGTAACTATCGTACATATCATTAATTACTTTTTGTGTATTATAAAATTTCTCACATATATGTAGCATGAAAAGATGTGATTATATATTATTTTTGTAAAAATAAAATGGATGCATTCCCCATCTCTTTAATATAATTTCCTTTGAGTTCAATGATTATGTCAAAGAACTTTTTCTAAAATCATCGCAAATCTTTTAGATAATCACATAAGATTTTACCAATTATGGTAATTATTATTACTTATGCAAAATCCATTATTACTGGAGAAATTTTATAATAAATTAGAAATAATTAGTGAAATTTATAATTGTTATTTTATAAATTTATTTTGAGAAGAGAGATAGAAAAAAAATTATATCTATACCCATCAAAAGTGATACGAAGATTTCTACATCCTCTTAAATTTTTTTTATTTTCTCTCTTTTGTTTCTCTCTCTCTTTATGTCTATCTCGCTCCTTAAAATAAGTGCATGAAATAACTACTCGTATATGTTATTAATTACTCGTGGTATATTATAAAATTTTTATATTTATAGTGTATGTAGTATATATATATATCCGAAATTATGAGTTTGTTCTGTTGAAAAAAGCATTATGAAGGCGGTTTATCTTATCCATCACGACACGTATGTCTCCCAAGACAACAACTCGTTTCTTCTCTTTAGAAATGCAGAGTCTGTACAAAAAGAAACCAGAAACCTACACCACCTTCTTCTTCCTCTTCTTCTTCTTCAAATTCGATTCTCTTTTCTTTTTTTTTTTTTTGGCTTTAATTGCCAGCCAACCTGCAACGATTTCATTTTCCTTTCTCTTCTTGCTTTGTAACATGAATAATACCAGTACTAAAATTTAGCCAAGCTCTCATGTTGAGTATTTCCCTTCACAAACCTGAATTCTTTAACTTTTCCCATTATGGATTCAGAAATTTCCACAAATTCCGTAGAAGTCCTTCATCTTGGACAATGTAAGTTCTTACCCATCTTTTATTTTCTCTTGGTAAAGAATTCATGATCTTTGTTAATGATAATTAAAATACATGGGTTGTTTTTTTTTTTTTTTTTTTTTTGGAACCAACAGGGCTATGAATAATTCTTCTGGGTCGTTTCATACAAGAAAGAAGGAAGAGTTGTCAATACAGGTTCCACCCACATCTATTTCTCCATCAGAAACAGAGAGGTTAGCTGATGCTGATCTGCGATTTGACCGACTTCAAGTACCAGAAAAGGAGTTGGTGCATGAGAGCAAGTTTGAATTTGGGCAATTTGTGGCAAGAGAAGCTGTGATAGATGAGGAACATTGGGTATGTCTTTGATTGTATTTTCCTAATTAGACCCTTGTTCAAATTCTACATGGATTAAGTGGCTTTCCTTTCTGTCCTTTTTTTTTTCCCCCTTTCTTTTCATCTTTGTTCATTTGGGCTCCCTTTATATTTATTTATTGAGCTAATGTAAAAGAAAATTATGATAAAATAAACGAAAGTAAATGGGAGAAAGTGATGAGTATTTGTTTTTGCATGTTTTGTGTTAGTTTAAGTATTTTGTTCCTTTGTTTCCTACTATCTCAGGCCATCCAGCAAGACCAACACCAAAAAAAATTCTGGTTTTGGTTTTGTCTTCTTCTTTGTCCTTTCCATTATATTTTCTCCTCATTTCGTGATATTAGTGTTAATAAATATCTTGTGTTTGTTGTGGTGGTGGTTTTTCTCTTATTCTCTGGCAGGCAGCAGCATGGCTGCGAGCAGAAAGTCACTGGGAGGGTAGAAATTACCGGTGCGTATGTTATCTAAGAAAAACTGGAATTTACTCATGTGTTTCGTTTTAAATTTAGCTAGACTTTTTGTTATCCTAAATAGAAATTATAAATCCAAATTAGGTAACTGGAATTGGTGTTTTTAACGTTGACAAATTGTACATTCTACATTTTTGACTGATCAAAAGAAAACAAAGAGAATGATCAAGGGCAATGGTTTTAGCTAACTGAGTTTTTCAATATGTTATCCTGAATGTTAGCCAAAATGGAGTCTAGTTATATGTTCTTCAGTTTGATGCCCATTATTCTTGCATTTTTTTAACAATTTGGTACTCCCCTCCCCTGAATTGATGAGGTATCTGAAACCCTCATGAGGTTCTGCTCAGGACCTCATTTGGGGTCGATATTAATAGCATATGAATGAAAGAGATGGCCATTACTGATTGAAGCTATCCCTGATTAACACAGATATGTTGATAATTACAAAAGGAAATTTGCAGAGCAGGTAGGAGTGGATATTTTTCCTTTTTAGTTGCTTGTTAATGTTTTCTGTGGCATTCAATTTTTACTGTTTCTTATATTATGCAGGAATTTCATGCCATGAAAAGGCGACGGACAAGCCTACATGGACAAAAATGCAGATGCATTATTACGGTATGATGTTTTACAGGATCTTATATCAGTTCTTTTTCGCCAAAAAAAAAAAAAAAAAAAGAATGAATAGGAAAAAGGGCAGAAGAAGGAAGTCTAACATAATAAAACCCTCTGCTTAGGCTGGAGTTGATTTAGTTGAAATTGCTCTCGGTCTGTCTTCAGTCTTTACTATGATAATAAATAGAGATTCATGCTATCTTTAGTTTTTAGTCTTTTTTCTTTTTTTGCCCTCCAAGTACATGTGGTTTATTGAAGCTCAGACCAAAATCGCTCACATATCAAATTATCAGGTTAGGAAGGAAGACAAACATGTGAAACGTACTGTACTGAAATGTGTAGTTGGAACTCTTGATTTAAGCATCAGGTGCTTACTGCATGGAGAGACCTTTCCAGGGGTATGATGCATTCTATTTGAATTTGAAGTGCTAATCTGTAGTCCATCAACCTGATCAAATAGTTTCATTAACTTAGCAATGGAGTTAATGCCCTGCACAGGAACGGGTGAAGGCTCCCCTCTTCTGCAGCATACATGGTACAGGCCCAAATAGATATGGTTATGTTGCCAACTTGTGTGTTGCTAAATCAGCGCGATGCCGGGGGATTGCAACCAACATGCTACATTTTGCTATGGAGTTGGTCAAATCTAATGGTAGATAATTTGTGCTACTTCCTTCAGAAGTTTCTGAACTAATGCAGCATAATGCAGATTTGGCTTAAAATTTCACTTCTGAATCAAATCTATGTGTCACAGGTATAGAACATGTATATGTGCATGTGCACAGAAACAACACACCTGCACAGGAACTGTACGAAAAGATGGGATTTGAGGTAATACCATCACGGTTACTCATTTGTGCTTCTAGTTTTAATGAGCATGAAATTCTGACAGTCTCTACATTCTCTGTCAGATTGTTGAAGTGGCAAGCTCTCAATTAGTAGAAGAGCAGACTTACCTACTTTGTTGCAAGGCATAAAAATTCCATAATACGTGAAATAGAAATCATTGTATACAAGCATTGTAGAATGCTTCATAAGCAACTAAAACTGTAGGTTGGCATTCAATCAGCACAATCATGTAACCATGCTGCTGATTGCCAATCATATAACCACACTGCTCATTGTAAGCTTCACTGTAGCTATTGTTTGCAAGCACTGATAATGAAGGTAAAAGGATATCTCGTTCTTGTTTGTGGATCTGATGTTTTGACTTTGAAGGTAATAGTAATGGCCTAATTAAAAGGAACTACCTACTCTACTTTACCTAGTGGAACATAATCTAATGCTCGGAATAAAAAAATTGAGACAGATGACAGATGGGGTTTATACATTTTTTCTTATCTAGAAGCATGAGCTATTTTTCATAAGAATGAACCATGATTCAGGCTGCTGGTTCTAGCAACCAGTGGGTTGGTTTATACGTCACATATCTGTAATTCCGCTTCAGATTATTTTCAGAAAAAACCTCGGGACTCAGATAACCAATGTCGGTAGCCAGCACTCTTTTAGATTTAGATCTATAGGAACTTTTCTGCCAGCGGTAAATGGTTCTGCTAGAACGTAATCCCAGTTTTATGTCCATGTACAATACAAGAGCTTGCGAGCATTTTGGGTTAGACTCCCATGCAAGACTTGCGTTTTTTTGGCTTCCCCAGAAATCTAATATTTTGCAAATTTTAACTCTTCAATCAAAAGGAGAGGCTCTAGGACCAGCCATTTCTTTACCTCATCATGTACTCCACTCCTCTAGATCGCATATTCCGGCACTAAAAGTTCTGTCCATACATGTTAGGATTAATGGCTTCAAACGTCCCTCTATTCTTCACATTTTTTGTCTTTTATTATTTATTATTACATTCTTCTACCCTCAAATTTTTCTTAAAGTGGCCTTTCTAATGGTTTTTCAGTCAATTTTCTAAAAAAAGAAAGTAACATTACCTCGTTAGAAAAACTGGTGTTATCTTGGATCCAATTTATCACATAACATAAACCTCTATTTTCATCATGATTTCATTAATTTCTCTTGCAATCAAAACCTATTGAAACTTCTCCACTATGTATTCTTATTGGTAAAATCTGTTGAAACTTGTCAGAATTTTTTAGGACAACACACTGCTTAATGATTTTCTAACAACGCTATTTTAGTGTGCAAAACTTCACAATATTGAGTTTTATTGCAAAGCTATTCATGAATTCAAGACAATGATGAAATCAGTATTTGGATATTAATATCATACAACTCTTTTACAACTCCATTGTGTTTGAAGAAAGGCAAAAGAGCAAAATCCGAAGAAACAATCATTGTGTTCTCTTCTACTTATTCTATTACTATAAAAGACGTATTGTTGAGAAAAATTATCATTACAGAAAGGAAGGAGAATATTTGTAATTTGAATACTTGTTGGTTTTTTGTATGGTGTTCTGCTCAGCTATCAATTAGAACTACTGAAATAGATGTGTTTTTTTTTTTAAGGGACTAAGAGCATATAATTATTGGTGTACTTAAATGGAACAATAAAAGAATGACAGAAAATCATGATAAAAATAGAGGTTATGTGACAAAATGGATAAAAAATAACACAAGTTTTTCCTAGAAGGTAATGTGAGAGAAAAGGATGGTGGTTGAAGATGATTGATTTATGAGCTAATCTTTATAGTTTCAATTATATTCAATTTAGATTCTGCAATTGAAGATAGAAAATAATTGATATGATATGTGGTTTTTTTTTCCTTAATTTTTTCATATGGAAAATAAATCAAACGTGTCATGACTTATCGTTATTTTATTTTATTTTATTTTATTTCACATCTCACTTTTGATTAGAAAATTAGCCATAAAACCATAAGATGATACATTAAGAAAATTTGAAAAGTAAAGAGACATTTCTTGCTATTAATACATACATATTATGTATGCCTTTTCGATAATAGTACTATGTAAAGAGAAAACATTTATCAAAGAGAAGAGAAGAGGAGTTGGGAGAAAACAGGTCTTTTATATTGAGCTGAAACTTGCTTTCAAGCATACTACTAATCTCTTTATATAGAAGAAGAGACTTGAACGAGGCCAAACATAATGGAACTCATATTTTTTTTTAATAATAATTATATAGATAGTTTTATAATGAAAATTATTTATTGAGATTTATTTAGAGCTCTCTAAAAAGAAAAAAGACAAAAAAGATCATTCAGGAATTTTTTTTATTTTTTGATGTTCAATAAATAAATAAATATAATTTTTGATTTTGAAAATTATGAATTTTGTTAGAAAATGGATTGGATTTTTTACAACGTATGTATAAAACTTCATATCAAAATACTAAAAATTGAATTTTTTAAAGAGAAAAAATAATAGCTAAAAATTATAAGATGAATTAAATTAAAAAAATCAGAAAAATCAAAATATAAATTAAAAATTTAAAAACTGATTTTTAAATAAATAAAAGTTTAAGAAGATTTTGGCCTTTTTAGTACTCGTTGATTGCACCGTTGTTTTCACAAATCCGTCAAATAAGTCCTTTATGTTTTTAGTTAGATTGATGCAACTAGTGTATTTTCATTTGGATGGATTGCATATTAATTTTTTTAAAAAGAAATGATTTTTTTTTCATATGTAACGCAAATAAAAAAATAAAAAAATTTCGTATCACTAAAATATTTTCAAAACACAATATTTTCGAATATTGTGGGACCCACGTAGGATAATAGCATCACTAAATAATTTAGCCAGAAGAGAGAAAAATAAAATCAACGATCGCCACTAGCCAATTAGGTTAGCCACGTAAGACTGTAAGAGTTGGGAAAGAGTCTCCCCCTGGCGAGTGGTACTACTCGTTGTAGGCATAGTCGTTCTACTTCTCTCCTAGTGAGCTTTGTCAACGTCTTCTTCCTCTCTAGCTCGGACATCAAACACAATTGCGAATGAGAAACTGGTTTTTTCAACGAACCATTTTGCAGTTAACACCAGGTAGATCAAAGCTAAAAGTTGTTGGAGATCAAAATGATAGGTTGAAGACCAGTTACCATGGTCGGATGAAGATAAATCGGCGGCGGAGAGTGAGAAAATCCACTAAAAAAGAAGATTTGGACTAAACAAAGTCATTAGGAGCTGTTGGAGGTGCTGTTTGGAGTTGCCTAGCATCATTGGGGGTGCTGATAGAGGCTGGTCAAAGCTAAGCCTTTGCTGAAAAACATTGAAACCGTCTGTGCTAACTGAAAAAAACGCTTCCCGGTAAAACCAGTTTTTTAACGAAAATTAGGTTTGTTGACGTGGGTGTCCTAACTGGTTGGTGATGGTTAATTTTTATTTTTCTCTTCTGTTTTTTAATCTTTTCCTGATGTTAGTATTATATGTCGATCCCGGAATACACAAAAATATTATTTTTTATTTAAACCGTATAAAAATCATTTATTTTTAAAAACCATACTCAATTAACTAAAATTAAAAACAAACGTGTTGAACGGATAATAATTAAAAACACAAACAACTTACTTCACAGATTTATAAGAACACAAGTTGCAATTAATGGGTTTTGCCACTAATTTTGGTTTGTTGTATATTTACTGGATGGACACTAAGTACGGAGAACACATTTTAAAATGAGGCATACTCAAAGGCTACTTCATGACAGATGGAAGCATCAACCAGGGAGAGGTGGTTGTCTGAAAAGAATCAAACAGATTCAACGGTAAAAGGCTACTTTCTGCTAAAAACGAAATTAGAAAGCTTACATGATGTTAATTATTACATTCTACTTACATGGACGGCATAAAATTCATGTCTTCTTTTTCTTGGCTAAAACATCTCAGAAGTTCTATATCCAGGTACTGATAATGGGCTGAACTCTAAAACTTCCCTGGTCGCTGCCGATGGCTCATTCTACCTTCATAACTACAACACAGACTTCAGATTGAAGAAGACGCTGAGGAATAACGCAATGGAAATTCTTGCGGTTCAGGAACCCTGACATCTTCCAATACAGGAGTCATCTTCAAGCCAATAATTTTTAAATTTGAATTCGAGTGACCATCTAGGAATACCTTTGTAATCTGCAAACAAAGCATCAAGACAAACTTAGAACTCGAACGTCCAACAATTGTGAATCCATCCAAAGAAGAGAGGCCTGTAGAGTAGGAGCAAAGTGAACCTAACAAGAGACTTGTACCTGACTGCATCCAAAAAGTTTAAGCACCTTTAATGATAAACAACTATCCGCAATCAAACCAACTGCCTCATTTGACAAGTTTCGACACCATGACAAATCCAAACTTAGCAACTTTCTTGAACGTCTAGCAACAGATAAGGCTGTATTGTGGCCAACCTAGAAAAAAGAGTCTCAGATGCCACCATTAATTGGTAGAAGAATCTAATTTCAGATCAAATTCACCTAGGTCCAATACTCCAACAGAACCTTCTAAACCAACAAAAGCACAAGTAGCTAATTTGATAGTAAGAAGATTGGCAAGCAATCGCAGAAGAATTTGGCAAGGACTGCATTCCAGTAACAATTAATTATGACCTACTGTTTGATGCAATTTCCAAAGTGAATGGAATAAACTCTTAAACCACCCCGTGAATGGGGAAAATGAGGATTCCGAGTGAAAGAGAGAGTAAACAAACAGGTACCTTCTTAACATTATTGAGTGAAAGTTCTTTCAAACGCTCTCCAGAGGTTTCCACAAATGCTGCAATAGCTTCATCACTGTCACCAAAAGAGAGAAGGGAGAGTTAAGAAATAAAACTAACTTTTGATTAAGAAGTTGCTATTACTAGCGAGGATCCAAATAAGTTACACTGATATGCAAAAAATTAAGCCAACATGACCAAGAGTAGAACAATGATTTGTATCTGGCACTGCATGGGAGAAGATGCCCCGACAGGGAAAATAAAAATATTTCATCCTGAGAAGCAGCTCACGTAACCGTCAAGCTATTTACATAACCACTAACAGTAACAGCCCCAGTCTGGTCTAACCATAAGCTATTTTATCTTCACTTGAGTCTAGATTTGAAAACAATGGAACATTAACAACACTTTCCAAAAAATTCCTTCGATTCAGCAATCAAAATACAGTAAGGAAACATTTCAAGCCCTAACAATTTTACTTGATCTTACAATAAAGTATGAGAATCTTATTACCATTGGAAAGTTCTAAAAACAGTGTCAACTTGCCAATTAGCAAATACTTATGAACAATGGAGGAAAAAATGTGAAAGGCCATTTTTCTCTTTTCACCACCCTTATGCTGAATCAGTAAGCCTGCTGAAACTCATTTGAATGCACAAAGATTTATACTTGCTCCTTGTCAATACAGAACAGGTTGGATGATTCAACACGTTCCTTCCATTCATCAGTGAGCAAATCTTGACACAAACCACAAATGTGGCTTTTGGCATAGCAATATAAGAATAAGCATCCATGCCAATAGATCGTAAATCTGGTAAATATCCCTATTATTCCAGGGATGAAACATGGTAAAGAGCCCAGCTTAGAGAAATCGATCTACATACTCATGGGAAATGGCAACCAAAGTACAAAAGAAAAAGTAATAGTCGACAGCAAAATAAAACTACTTCATAGAATTTCTTCAATTGCATTATGTTTCAATAAACCTAACAAAAGTGTGATAGCTCCACTCAAAAGCCTACACCATTTCAACACCCAAACCAAGTTTATAACATAGTGAAAAGACTATTACTGATAAAAGAAGATGCTAAAGGACCATAAATGTAAAAGAAAAAACCTCTAAATCATGTACAACCAAGGAAAAACAAATAATTGTAGAAATTGACTACAAATAAATAGTAAATAAATCACGATATTATGCAAAAACCTGAATGCATTGCGGCAGAGTTTCAATGTATGGATTTCTCGGCAATCATTTGCAAGAAATCCCAAAGCAGAATCCGTCAATTTCCTCAAGTTACAAAGATCAAGTGCACATAATTTAGAGCAGGTTTCAGCTATGACTTTCATGGAAGAATCAGTCAATTTCCTGCACCAAAATACAACATCCAAGATAAGAAAAGAAGGCTTAAATTCAGGAAGCAACAATAGGATTTTCTTGCACGAATAGCAACAAATTCATTGATGTTGTACATAAAATGTTAAACGAAGCTTACACACAATCAGTCAAAACAAGCTCCTTTATATTATGACCACGTGCAACAATAAACTCCCTCAAAAACTTATCACTGACAGTTTGAATTCCAGAGAGCGACAACACTTCTAAATGTTCTAGTTTCTTCAGTGCTGGCAAAATGAGCATGGGGTCCATGCTTTGGCAATCATTAATGTACAATTCCCGCAGAGTTGTTGCCAATGAATCAGATAATGCATCAATACTGGAAGAGGTAAGAAGGGAGCACTGGCTGAGATTTAAAGATTGTAGGACAGGGGCAGAAGAAACAAGTGAACTAAGTGCAGCATCTGAGAGCCGGCATGCTCCACTGATGGATAAAGTAGTTAGCATAGGCAAGCTACCTTGTGACCGAGCTAAGGTAGCAAGTAAAATATAATCTGCCATGCAGCGTCCACATTGGTCAAGTTGTAGAACCTGATTATCCCAACAATGAAAGTTAGTTTATCTTCAATTTCCACTCATTCAAATAGAAAGAGACACCAGGTTATAATCAAAGTGCAAACAGAGGATTATTCATAACAGCAGAGATATCCTTTCACAAGATGAGCTGTCTCAAACAGGAACACAGATCACAGCACTATGGTTGAATGGAAACTTGTTACAAATCCAGTCAAATTTGAAGTCTAGGAAAAAGATACAGGAGAGACCAACAATATGTTCTAGAACTAAATTACACAAAAAGTTCAAACTTAAAATCTGATTGAAGGATGCACAGAATGAAAGAAACCAGTACCAATGAAATAAATGCCATACTCATGCAATTAGGAAAATATTATTTAGATATCCAACCAAATATTTTGTTAGGCTTTACAGCCTCTGTGGCAGCAACCAGCAATATGATAGAAGCTATAATCAATGAGAATTCCACTTGGATAAATTTAGTCTATATAAACTGATTTGACTAGAGCATTATTGGTTTATCTAGCTTTCATTTCTACGTCTTCAATCCAATAAGACTAAAGGTGAACAACCTACCTACAAGGCTGTCTAGTAGAGCCGTAAAAAATGTTTAGGAAAATGAAAATAGAAATAAAAGCGTCTAATTGGTCTAGGGAAAATAAGAAATTATCACAGTTTTCATTCACACGTGTCTCTTCCACAAAACTGGAGTTTTGAAGATCTTCTATTGAGTTTATGTACAGTGCATGAACAACTTTTCCATAAATTCATTATTGCCAAAGTAAATGAATGTGCTGATGTACATAGAGAAGCATGCACTCATTTGCATATTCAGAAAGAACTACTGGATGGGAAGATGGCAGACACAAACAAATGGTCTTGGCCTTGAGCAGGCTGGCCATGGATCGAAGGTCAATAAGCCCTGTCCTAACCTTAAATCAAAGTTAATCTATTTGATGCAATGGTTACAATTTTTGGAGAACTCCCCTAAAAACAGGCTAGCACCATAAAGGAGGAAACCCCAAGGTAAGGTCTTTTTATCTAAGCAAACCATTAGCTTCCTAGATTGACCAATTTTGAAGAGATAGGCTTTATGTGGAACAATTCGTTACAATGATCTGTTTGAGTTCCATTTCAGATTTTCAACATAAAAGTAAATGCGTTATAATACAAACTAAAACATTCATGTAAACATACCGTTAAATTGCTGGTGTCGCACACCTCAAAATTTTTTTGAACTCTTCCTCTGCTAGCCATGAACAATCCCTAATCTGTATCTCCGTAGGTGATCCATGGACAAGAAGAGCCAAAAAACGACTATTCATTCTCCGAGAATCACAGAGTAATTGGCATAGTCTATGCCTCAAAGCATCTGGGACATGTTCAAGCGAAGCAATTGCATCAGCATTCTTCACTAGAATATTCATGCATAATTCTTGAAGGGAAGGAACCAATTCTTTTAAACGTTTACTTGCCCGACCAGTTTTAGGAATCCATGTTATTGGCACAGGTTTTGCCTTCTCCAAAGTGGAGCCTCCCTTTTGCAAGTTAAGCCTATTTGCTCTATCCCTGATAATCTTCACAGCAGTAGAGAAAGGACCAGGCCAGTCTTCAACTTTGTCCAGCTCTTCTTCCTCAGATGGCATTTCTACGTCATGATGATCCTCCCCATCCTCCTCCATTTCAAAATGAGCAAATCGAGAAGCATTTTTTCTTGCTGTATCCCGAAATTGCTCCATTCTTGATTCAGGCACTTTACTTCTTGCACTCACATCCTGCTTTCCCTCTTCCAACACCACACTCTCCGCCAAACCATCAACCAAATCCTTAACTCTGGGTTCCAAACGCAATGTATCCTTTCCATTTGATATCAAACCATCATCAACAACCAATATCCCCTTCCCTTTGTCTTCTCTGCTATACCTCCTCCCCTTGAAGTTCCACTCTCAAGAGCAACTGCATTTTCCCCCAATTCCTCAATAACAACAGCAGCCTCTTGACCGTTCTTCCCTTTCTCCTCTCTGCTATATCTCCTCCCTCTCCTTAAAATGCCATCCTCATCTGTACTTGGGGTTTTCTCCAATTCCTCGACAACACCCTCTTTAACTCCCTCCACTTTCACTTCTCCGCTATGTTTCCCCCTTCGTCTTGATGTTCCACTCTCATTAGCACTATAGCGTTTCCCCAACTCCTCCACAGCAATACCGCCACCTTCACCCCTCTCCATTTTCACTTGTCTAGTACATTTCCTCTTTTTCCTTGAAGAAGCACTCTCATTAACACTCAACTTCTCCTCTAAATTGCCACCGGAAACACACTCTTTGCTTCTCTTGACCGTATTACCACTCAAAATTTCCACAAACTCCTCTTGAACATCCAACGTTAACACTTGCTTACCTAATTTCCCCCTCCCCTTTCCCTTGTGTTTCCCTTTTGTAGACATAACACTCGAATCCTTAACTTCACCTTCTAATTCTCGTTCAATTTCAACAACTGAATCATCACCACTGTCACTATTGTTATTATTATTAACAACTTTTTTCCCAGACCTCAAACTCAAAACCCCTAGTAATTCACCTCCAACATCTAATTCAGTCGTTTTATCGATCATATTACCTTCATTAACAAGCCGAGCTTCTTTATCTTCTGTCTTCTTCCTCTTGCTGGTTGGAGTTTGAAGGGAGACATCAGCAGAAGGAAGTGATTTTGAAGCGAGACGGAGGCTCCGTCTGCGTGTAGAGGCAGTATCGCGGGGGTTGGGGGTGGTAACGAGGGAGGGAGGGGATTGGTGAGCGGAAGGTTCGCGGGTTCGAATGGGAGTGAGGGGTTCGGGTGTGGGCAGTTTTCCATTTTGGGGATGTGTTGGGAGTATTCCGCGGGACCTGAGCACAACCATGAAATGATGGACAAAGAGAGAAAGATGAAGATGAGAGAAACAAAAAAGGAGTGGAAAATTAACTGATTACAAAATCAAATTAGAAACACTAAACGAATTGGGAATGAGCGCCTCTATTTCTAGGGTTTGGACCCAACTTCTCTTGTACGCTGCTCGGGTTTCCCGCCAAATTCTATGTCTTTTTTTTTATTTTTTTAACTAAGTACTTGCTCAATTTAATCAAGGGATCATCTGAGTGTTTATGATAAGCTCTGAGTGTTTTTTTTTTTTTTTTGACAATTTAAAAATTAGCATGCAATTACTCATGTAGTTTTTATTTTATCATCAAATAATATTTTGTATTAATTTTTCCAATAAACTTTTAAAAATTTTCAATTAAAGTTTTATATCTGTTTTAAAAGTTTTTAGTCTATATTTTCATTTAAATTGTATTTTTTAAAAAATTACACCGTTTATAGATAATTTAATAATTTTAATTGAAAAAAAAAACTGTTTCAAGATAAAATTAATATAAAAAATAATTTGGATGTAAAATGATAACACTCTTATAATTTGATAATATATTTAATGTTTGCATAATTTTTTATACTTGGCGCAACTTGAAAAAATGGTTCAAATGATTTTTTTCCCAGAATTTGTTTTCCTGTCGACAAAATCGTTATACTTTACTTGGAAAAATTAGTTTTCCATTTCTCATCAAATCTTTAAACAATATATTAGGTAATATTAATTTTATTAAATAAGAAATAGAGTTATATTAATGCTATTAAAAATTAATAGAAAAGCTACATTTCAGTAAATACTTCACGCTGAAAATTGTTTTTGAACTTTTTTCTTATAGTATAATAAACATAATTCATCGGTTTCTGGATTAATTTTTTTCCCTACAAACGGACGGAAAATGGTATTCCATTTGATTTTGTCGGCTTTTTTTTTTTTTAAGACATTAGGCTTTTTGTTTTTTGTAGGCTGATTTGCCTTGTGATTGTTTTTGGACTAAGACCCTTTTAAATTACCCGGGTTAATTCTCAATAAAGGAAAAAAGAAAAAAAAAGAAAAAACAACAAGATAAACCCCTTTCTGAGGGACATTTGGCGCGGCAGTTTTTCTCTTCTTCAAAAGAAGCAACTCTTTTTCTCCATCTCTCTCACTGTACTTATCCCCCACTTGCTCTCCTTGCCAATCTGACGCACGGCCTCCGACTCCTGCCGACCGCCGCCGGCCAGATTACCCACGTTGAGGTGTGTTATTTTTCGTTTTTGGGTTTCTGAATTGGTAAATAAGTTATGAACAAACTTCGTTTTTTCCATTGAATATAATGGGGCAGAACTGTATTCATTTTCTCTCCAACCAAACACCGAAAAAGGCACTGTCAAAAACCCATTTCTCCATTTTCTTTCATTTTCCAGCACTGTTTCCTTTTTTTCATTCTACAAATCTGGGGTTTCATTCCCAAGATTATTTCCTTATATATGTAAAGATTTATTGATGGTATATGCGTACATTTTTTTTTTCTTTTTGGGTTTATGAGGAATATCAAAGATTGTTGGTAATTCGCATATTCATAACCTGTTCGATGAAGTGTGTAACTGAGGAAGGAATTTTTTTCCCTTTTGCTTTTAGTTCAAGTGCTTTCTTTTCTGATAGTTTGAGGGAAATGTATGCGAGAAAGGGATATGAGCTAGTGAAAGACCTTGCCAGTGGCGAAAAAGGCCAGCTTCAGCCTTTCAATGTAAGCATAGTTTTTTGTTTTTTGTTTTTTTTTTTTATTGCATATTAAATTACCGATTTTCTGTAAATATTTTACTGGGCAAGAAGTGGTTTGAATTAGTTCATCTGTTATTGTAACAATGTATGTTATTTATGTGATGTGATATTGTTTGTAGGAAGATTTGTTTAATCAAGTTGTTGATCAATGCACTCAGCATTACCTTGAGCTTCAGGCTTTGATAAGGTACTCCTGATTTTAGCTCATATTTTGGAAATGTTGGCATGTACATTTGCTTTCCTTTCATTTTGTTATTGCTTGTAGTTGTGCATCTCTGGTCATGAAGTAACGAGGTTACTTTATTAGTAACTGATTGCTAGAAAATTCTATAGTCACAAAATTTGCTACGTTTAGGTGCTGCTACTATTTTAATTTGTTGGTGTAATGGATTGAGCTCTAGTCTTGTTTATGCACTGTGCCCCTGCGAAGTTTGTAGTGGGAGTCCATATCACTTCAACTGAAATGATCAGTTTGTTTTGGATTTTCAAAGACCTAAGGTTTCTGCTATTAGAACACATTGAGTTATGATCTAACAGATGTACCAATGTAAAGTTTATATGGATACATGAAATTAAGTTTCACTTGCTACTCTTTTGGCTCATATTCTGGTTCAACCTTTGAATTATGGCCACTTTGGTGAAGATTAGAGGGAAGTAGTGCTTGTATTTCATAATCTTTAGTTCCATACATTTGGCACTGGGATATCAGGTTTCTATTATGGATTAATATTAGTTTTTCATGGACTTTTTAGTGGCATACTCATGCGTGCAGATTGCAATGCACATTTCCCTTTTGGTGGAAACTAGGATATCATGCAATTGACATTATATCTATCACAACTTTGTTGTAATAAGTGATTTTATGTAAATATTCATCAATTACTATAATTGTTTCTCTTGATTTTACCATTAGAAAGAACAAGAATTGCTCTGTTACATGGGAGAATTGTTTTGACAAATTGCTTTGGTATGGAGAGTGAGCATGTGAATTAGGTTTTATTATATCACTCATGCCCTATGCAGAGCCATTTTAATGTGCCTTCTCTTTTTAATAAAGACCTTCCTTTCAGTGGATGGGACTTATATGTGTAAACATATGGAATTACTGCTCTGTGCTCAATTGCAGGAAGAATTTCGATCTATATGGCTGATTGGTCTTATCTTAACATGTTGACCTCTTTCCATCTCTCTTTCCCTTGCTCCTGCAATTCTGTATGCTACGCTAAGTTATATTGTTCTTCACCTGGTTAATTCATTGACTTGATATGACAATAGGAAAATGCAGGAAGAAAGTGTGGATGTGAGAGAAACTAGAAATGCAGACCACTATGGGGCACTCATCCACCACCTTTCTTTAATTCGCAACAAACGTTGCTTAATGGCTTATGTGTGAGTGTCTCTAAATCCTTTTGCTGTTTCATGACCCAACTCATTCTAGCCAGTCCCTTTGTTGAGGTTTGTCTCATCATCAGCTCTTTCGGTTCATGGTTTATATCCGTGCAGACACAACCGAGCAGAAATTATACAAAATTTTGCTTGGAAGGTTGGGCTTGAGCTTCTTGAGCTCCCAGAAGAAATTCAAGAGAAGCTCAGTTCATCAGAGAAAAACTATTTTGGAAAGCATTCTGCTGCTCTCCAATCATACATGGCAGAAGTGGGAATTGATTTGAATGTGGTAACCTCTCTATCTCTCTCTCTCTCTTTCAGAAAATTGACTCGATGCACTCAGAGTTTCAGACTAATAACAAAAAAGTAATTGAAATTGTTTGGAAAAATTTATTGTGTTGCCAATGGCTAACAACTTCTCACTATAATAGGAAATATGCCTTTCTTTTACATGGAATACTGTTTTTTATATATAGTCGGCTCATGGATAACATATCCATTTCTTTCCCCTATTCTGGTGGTTTATCTCTTAGCAACAAGAAGTTCTAATATTTCTCAAATTCTTGTGGATTTACTTGTGTTGTGTCACGTGAATGTTATTGCTAGTCTTTAAAATTAGGTTGCATGTTCCAGTAAAAAAGTATATTTCATTTCGTTTTGTTAGCATTATCAAGGAAAATTATCCTTGAGTGGCCAAACGCTATAATTTATGGGTGAAAAGTAAAAGATGAATGAATCTTCGACTGATTATGACATGAAAATCTATGTCCAAAATTAAACTTGCAGATTTGTTCTCTAGGTTACTTGGAAGGACCATGTCTCTGTTACTGAAAGATGGGTGAATAATGTATTGCTGTACAATGGTAGCCTTGGCGGATGAATAAGGATATGAAGCATGTGGTTCAATAAGTAGAGAAAGAAAAGAGTAATTAAGAAATGATTGTTTTGAATACAATTTATTCTAGTTAAGTGAGAATTGAATTTTGCAAGCAAGACGGAGCAAGATTTTACCAATTGGATTCAGTCGACTAGATTCCAGCATAATAGTAATTTTTTAATCAAATCCCAAATGGGTTTGTCAAATTTTATTAATTGTGTGTTCTGTTCCAATCTTACCGTACTGTTGTATCCATATCTGTGCTTGGGATAGTAAAGGTTTCCTCTACCAGAGAAAGACCTAACTGGATCTTTAGTAATCATATGGCTCGAATTTAGCCTTTGTGTTGCCCTTGAGCAAACTATTGGAGCTTTTTATTTGCAGGGGCCAGTACTAGTCACTGCAGAAGCCGATAAAAAATCCATTAAAGGAAGTCATGGTTATATTAACTTTTAAGGTTACATTACTTTTGAAGAAGCACCAATTAATCTGGCACTAATATGTGAAATTCATCATGTATCTCTAGCAGCTATTTGACTTATTTGAGAAATGTAAACAGAGAAATGGTCATCTAAACTGAATGCATTTTCATGTTCAAATTGTTTCATGTGATGACTGAACATCTTGTGTCAATTAACTAGATTTTGGCAACTGATGTTATTGTGTACTGCAGGATATGGTTCCGCCGAAAGATCCATATATCAAGGTGAGAGTCCTTGATGACATGGGTGAAGGGATATTACTGAGTGATAAGACAGCCAATCTTGCTCGCCATTCAATGCACTTTCTTAAACGAACTGATGCTGAGCAGTACATTGCTCGGGTGGGTTGTCGTATTGACTAGTTAGCTGAAATTATCTCCTAACATGCTATTTTTGAACCCACTTGAAGTTCTCTTGTTTTCCTTGTTTGATCTGCAGGGATTGATGGAAGAGCTTACAGGATGACTTTAATATAGTGGTTTCCTAAACAATTTCAATGACGATGCATTTTCAAATGCGAATCTTCAACGGCTCTTTTAACCGCTATAGCTCATTGCACCTTTTCCTTACCCGCACACGCTATGAGAGAATTTTAGTTCTGGGATATGATGGTTCAATAGCTTTGTAGGAAATTTACAAATTTCCGGATGTTTATCTGTGGTTATTCATTTAGCCTCAACATTATAATTTTTAATGCAATTCTATCGGTGCATGCTTAAACATATTATTTCTACCTAACCAAACCTGATCGTTCCAACAGGAGTAATGCGTGCCCAATACCGTTTATATTTTTGCATGATGTGAATATTGTATGTTTATTGTACATGTAGTTTTGAGTCCCAACATAAATAAGAAATTTAGATTGTCTATAAAAAAGCTCAATTCTCTCAAGAAAATCTTTCACATCAGAACTTGATCATAGATGGAAAACCGGAGTAGAATTCAAGATGAATAAAAATTTCAACCAAAAGTGGGTTCTCAGAGAAATGAACTATCATGCTCGTATGGTTTGCTTGAGAAAGCTCTTGAGTTGAATCCATCCAAAAAAGTTCAATTATCAGGAATCTAATTGGACAGATTGCTTCTAAGATGTTGCTCAATCCTTCCCTCTCCTGACATGACATGGTTGTTTGTAGCCTTTTTTGCATCTTTGCTTTTCTCCAATGGCATTTACTACTTGCCAAGTCATTTTTCACCAATAAGAAATCTTCAGCTCCTGCTGATTTCATATCCGCATGGGACATCTTTCTCTTATTTTCTAATGCAAGTGAAGAGTTTTGTTGGCTTGCTCCATGTCGATAGAGAAATCTGAACGGAAAGGTAGCTAAAGTGAATGAGTCAAGTCGAGTACCTTATTTATGAGAGAGATTTGATAGCAGCTAAAAGGGAATGCACCTATGATCCGATCCTCGGATGGTTGATTCTAAGAGAAGAAAATCTTATTGATCAATGTTTTGACAAAGAAGCACAATATCAGTTCAAAAAACTTTGAATAAGGAAGACTTTTAAGTCATGAGAAAGATGGTGGGAAATATGCAAAAAGATGGTGACAAATAGTTGTCCCGAGTATTTATTCATTTGACCAAGCGAGAACTGGTGCCTACCTTTGCTAGCACTTCCAAGTTTTCATACTAAGAGTGCTCGATAAGTTATCTCTTAGCTCAATTTTGATGATCTTATTAAAATTGTCAGAAGGGTGGAGCATGATATGTGTTTGAAGAGGATAAAAAATGTCTATTCTAAGTCCTTCGAATTATAAGATAACGTCATCGCATGTGCTCTTAATAGTGTCAAGGTCCACTGACATGATACCAAGTTGAGAATAACATCAATGCCCTTTTCAAGCAGAAGCCTTGTGAGAAATTGAGATGCCTCTTTCATTCAATGTAGTCGTCGGTCTACTAATATAATTTAAACGAGCTATTTGAGGCTCACAAAGATCTTTTCTTCTGTTGTTAGTTGTCGGTCTACTAATATAATTTAAACGAGCTATTAGAGATGCTAATTTTCATCTCTATTATGTTGCTAATTTTATTTATTTTTTTAATAAATTATCGTTTATTGATAATTGTAAGAATAAACAAATATAAACAACATTTTATTAAAACATGCTATATTATTAAATAAAATTAAAATTATATTAATTAAAATAAAATAAATATATAAATGTGTTAAGATATATAAAAATATTAAGAACTTACAAAATAAGAAATTTAGTCCTCATTTATCACCGTCTCATGTATCATCTCTTGAATGCCGATCGTTGAGAGAAACGACTAACTGTTTGATTGTAAGAAGGTCAACAGTAGGGATGAAAGACGGTTGAAGGTTCTCTAAAAACATCAAAACTTTCTACAACCGAGTATGCATGCTTTCGACTTTATTTGCATGTTGCTTGAATGGTAGCCTCAATCTTCTTGATCCGATCTTCGTATTGGGCAGAAATTTACTGAATATTATTAATATAAATGCCCAAGATCCAACCTTGTTTGAATGGTTTGACTTATTATAATATTGTATTTTTTATTTTATTAATAAAAAAGAAGTATTTCTATTAATTTTTATTGTTTATATTTAAAAATTTTAACAATTTAACTGAAAATCTTTTGATATTTAAATAAAATAATATAAATATTTTATTTTATACTCAAAATTTACATACTATCATAAAGATAATTTAAATTCATAAAGAATACTTGGATCAAAAAATATTTTTATCTTCATTTTTTTAAAATTTTTTAAATTTATTTATTTAAATTCATTTTAAAAAATAAAATAGAAAGATAAGATTAAGAAAAAAATTGTTATGTGTCGCAATTCTATGATGCTAACGAATCGATTTAACATCATTAGCTAAAAAAGTTAACGAAATGACACAATTAAAACAAAAACCAAATGTAAAAAAAAAAAAAAAAACAAATTTAAGATGAAAATGAGTAAATGAACACCATAAAGACCAAGGAAAAAATAAAAAATAAAATTACAACCATTAACCCGATTTTAATTTTTTTGTACATGTTATTCAATTTTTTACGAATGCCAATCGATCTATGAATTGATTTTTGTTAACATCATTTCCTTTACTTTCTCTTACATTATGGGCTGTCACTTTCTGTTACGCATTAATCTTGAATAATTTTTTGCTTCTATTGAATAGTCAATGGCATGTCCCTCGGAGTGTTAGGAAAGCGATGGGTTTAATCTCATCAAATGTTTCCGCCTAATTTTTCAATCAAAACGGACATTGACATAAAAAATACTATGTGACATGATACGTGAGACTAATTTTTCATGTTGTTAAATTATTATTATTATTTTTTTTGCAAAATATATATAAATAAAAAAACCTAGTAAAAAAAACTGTATGTCTTTCTTATTATAAAATAAAATAAAATAAAAAACTAAAATAAAGAATTGAATAGTAGTCGTCGTTCATTTACCATAGATTATATTTTTTAACATTTTAGTCCTTGATGTTTTTAAAAATTTTATTTCAACTAATATCTTCATTTATTGATACATTTTGATTCCTATTATGGAAAGGAGGGAGAAAAGAAGAGAGAGAGACCGGAGGAGAGAGGGAGTACCAATCAAGTTTATTTAGACCACTTTGGCCGGTCAAATTCTATTATATATTTTTTTTAATCTTTGAGAGATGAGTTTGTCAATGGTAATTTTAAGTCATCAAATAATTAAAGGAGATAGATCGAAGTCAAAAAGGAAAAAAAAATTCTGATTTAATTTTTTTAAATGTATATTAAATTGATTTTTAAGATTTTAAAAGACGTTTTTTTTTAAATTTATTTTGATCATTTATAGGTGTTTAGAGAAAAAACTTATGTCAAAATTGAGTTTCTAGAGGTTTGAAACTTAATCTATAATTTTCCAACTAAGATTCCAACAAGCTAAAGTTCATCGGAAGTTATAGAATTTTTTTTTTTTTGGTTGAACAACAACCAAGGCCTGGAGAGCAAGCATGCACTCCTAGGCCTAAGCACGTTGGCTCTGTCCTAACGAGTATAGGCCAACTAGATTCGAGCTTGGCCTTTTTTTTTGTTTATATATATATATATATATATTATATTATGAAACTAGGTGTGAAAAATATAGAAAATAATTTTTTTTTTAATTTTACGTACGGTTTGAAAATGATAGAATAGATATGATATTTTTTTTAAGATTTTAGTTTGAACATATATATTTGATTATATTACTCTTATAGTTTAAAATTTATTTCTTCAATTATTTGTTTCTTATTAAAATTCTCATCAAATTAATTTTTTGATATAATTTTATTTGATAATAAATTTAGTTTTTTAATATATGAATTTTGGAATAAAATTTTAAAACGTCGGTGTTTTATTTTTTAAAAATATATTATCATATTTTATAAATTTGTATTATATATACATATAGAGAGAGAGTTAAAAGTATGTTTTAGATAGTTTAACTTATTAATTTTTTTTTAAATAATAAGGTTTTGTGACATGAAGTATATAAAACTAGCAAAGAGTGGGAAGTGTTCTTACTTAGACTTATGAATTTTCAATTAAAATACCCGATTAGGGGAGAAATAAATTATTTTGTTTTGTTTTTGAAACTCGAAAAAAAAAAAACACTAACTTAGAAAGCTTGGAATGTAAAGAAATGAGGAGACTTGTGGGAAGGCTCCGAAGTCCTCAATATCAATATTAAACTGCGGAACAGTCTCTCTTAAGTACTTAATCCAATACCCATATTGTTTATTGTTTTCTTCTTCAAATCCCATCTCAAAAAACAAATTAAAGCAAGTCTTCTTCGATGTCAATTTTTGGGCATGAAACTAATTGGAAGCAGACATATATATATATAAAATATATAAAGCGGTCGTGTTTTCAAAGGATGCTTCCTCCTCGTCCCATTTGGACAATCATTTTCCAAACTAACCCATTAATGGACACCCTTTATTTCTTATTATTATTATGTATGTTGAAAAGTCTCTTCATTGGTCAACGTACTCCGTCTCCTTTTGATGCTGTTATTTTGTAAGGGATATGTATTTGAATTTCGAAGGAGAGCATAAGAAAAAGGAATTTATTTTAATACATCAATTTCATTGTCGATAATTAAACGATAAAGATATACCTAAACAGTTAAAATAAATAAAAAGCATACTAGCCAAAAAGATATAAAAAAAATAAAAATAAAAACCACCATGTGAAATTATTGGGTTTGTACAGTGGATAAAAATAACAAAGGCAGGCAGAAGCAAATCAATAGATTGAGATCAACTCCATTCAGACCTCCGAGGAGAGAGGGCAGAGTTTATGATCTCACACCATCTCCTGCAACTAGCCACAGTTTCAGACACACACACACACACACATAAAAAAAAAAAACCACTTGTTCTACTTCTTAAAAAAAATTTCTGTACTACAACAAGCATCCTTATCATTAACCACAACAGTCATCCACAAATTTCTTTTTTATGGGTCACCACCATAACCATAACACAGCAAGCGATGGCGTCGCTCAAAGAGTTAACAGTCCTCGTTTCTCAGGTCCAATGACTCGCCGTGCTCACTCCTTCAAGCGCAATAATACCAACACCAATAATGCCGGCAGCAACAATAATAGCAACAACGTTACTAACGTTAGCAGTAGTGGTAGTAGTCTTAGCCCCCATCTTGAGATTGATCTCCACTTAAACTCACCTAGATCTGAAACCATTGCTGGCTTTGAAAGGGAAGGTCACAACAGGCAGAATCTGAGCCAAAGAGTTCATGGGGGTGTATCGAAGAGTTTGATAAATAAGAAAGGTAGTATTGGATCTATGGTGATGGATTTTGGGTTCAAGGAAAAGAAGAAACTTGGACACTGGATGTTCTTTTTCTTTTGTGGGGTTTGTTTGTTTTTGGGTGTTTTTAAGATTTGTGTATATGGGTGGTTTGGATCTGCCATGGAAAGAGCTGCCTCTAATCAGGTTATTTCATTTTCTAAAGTTTTGTTCTTTTCCAAGTCTTGATTTTTGTACCATAAGGTAGAGTGTTTTTCAGATTGCTTTTAGGTAGCCTGCCCTTGTGTGTATAATAAATATTTTGCTAGAATGTACATACAGGCTTACACTTTTATGGTAATTTTTAATTCGGAGCTATTTTTAGAATCTTTCCACCTGCCTGGCTAAGAGATCTGATTTTTAGCTGAAGGGAGATAATGGGTTGCCAGGGTTGTTCATTTTAGATGATAATGTGCCAAATTTTGATTCCGCAAATAAAATGCCAAACTTGAAGTTGCATTGTAGATTTTTTTTTTTTTTTTTTTAAACTAATAATTGGAATCCTGATTTGTTAAAAAAAAAAAAAAGTGATTTATAACTGTTTTCTAAAATCTGAAATTAGTATGTAGTTCTACAGAGTTAATTCTCCTGCTCTCGTATGAATGTCTATTAGGTTTAGGATTTCCAGAAAACTGAAGGCCAAAACGCTGAATGGCTATGGCTGTACTACAGGTGTCCAGGCATTCCATTTGCAGTCTCTATTATCTAATGTAGAAGGTAGCTCATTGAACAACGTTAATTTTTTTGATAACATATTGAACAATGTTTATATTCCTTGCTGATGTTTTGTTTAGACTGTTGCTTGTTGCCTAACTTGTCTATTGGTATTTCATGATATGTTTGATGATCCATGTGTCTTAGTTCTGTTGCTGTTGCACTTCATTCTGCTCATATTAATCATCTTTTATCTCATCTAAAGTGATCTGCATTTACAATCAGGATATTTCCAGTTCCTCCACCCAACAGGAACGAAGGTCTTACAATTACTGGAAGCCAGAAAATGATCCGAAAAGAATAATAATAGAAGTAGGCTCGGATATGGTTGATATACCGAATAAGAAGGCTGAAGTAAGTCTTGAATTCATCCTGAGCACTTTAGTACTTGATAATACTTAATTTAGTTCTCCCTAAATTAAGGAGTGGGAAGTATTAGTAAACGCTAATATTTGTTTATGTGTTTCTGAAGTCTGCTCTCTGTTCAGTTTTCAGATATCTGGTCCAAACCCAATAGTGAAAATTTCACCCAGTGCGTTGACCAGCCCGGAAGTCACAAAAGTATGAAACAGAAACAGTTAAATACTTCATGGTCTCTCCTTTTCCTTCTGTGTGTGTGTGTGTTGCACTCATGATGCCTTTGTGGATTTTTTTTCCTCTCAAATTCATCTTCTTTTCTCTTGGCAGAGCTAGGTGCAAATACAAATGGCTATGTTCTCATAAATGCTAACGGTGGCTTAAATCAGATGAGATTTGGGGTCTGGCTTTTGTATTTTTGTTATTCGGTCTTGTTAATTTTGATTGACATGAACTATGGGCTGATGCATAAAAAATTCTAGTGTGCAGATTTGTGATATGGTAGCTGTAGCTAAGATTATGAAGGCAACACTTGTCCTTCCCTCCCTTGATCACACCTCCTACTGGGCTGATGATAGGTCTGTTCTCCTCTAATTATGCAATTCCCTTAATTGGACTGAAAGCATATGATGATATGAATAATTATTTTCTTCATCGCAAAAATAAATTTCAATTAACTTTCAGACAATGCTGATATGCTTTCGATTCAATTTAGTTGTGGAATATACCTGACTTGTGCTACAAGTAGAATTGGTAACTGATACATTTACGAGAGCATATTCTGCCAGCAGGGGAGCATTTGTTTACTGATCCATGTAAGCACAGTGCATTTGATGAGAAGGATCAGAGCACAGAAGAATGCTAGTTTTAATCATGTTTCTCTCTTTTCTTATTTGAGTATTTTGGGCTTTTAATGAGAGCAAGTTACTGTTGCCCATGTGATTCTTCCACGGAAGAAACCTCATCACTCTAGCTAAGAAGGTTTTATTCTGATGTTCTTGACATTTGACACTACAAATAGTGTTTAAGTTGCATAGAGGCTCTTTATTATTTTTTAATGATCTATGAGCTAACTCATTTCCTCTCATGTCCTCAACTGTTTCAGTGGATTTAAGGATCTGTTCAATTGGCAACATTTTATTGACACACTGAAGGATGATGTCCATATTGTGGAGAAGGTGCCACCTGCCTATGCTGGAATCGAGCCTTTCAACAAAACACTGGTATCTTGGTCCAAGGTGATATATTATTAGTTAACTCATTGTTTTTTCTGAGAAATAATATTCGTCAGTGAGAATGGACTGAAATATTGTTGTTGCCTTCTCTAAAACTGATAACAGTCATTTTGAAATGCACTCTCTTCTCTCAGGTTCGTTATTACAAAACTGAGGTCCTGCCATTGTTGAAGCAGCACAAAGTAATCTATTTTACTCACACCGATTCTCGTCTTGCCAACAATAATCTCTCAGATTCCATACAAAAGTTGAGATGCCGTGTTAATTATAGGGCACTGAAATATTCTAAACCAATAGAAGAACTTGGAAACACCTTGGTCAGCAGAATGAGAGAAAATGGGAGCCCCTATCTTGCTCTCCATCTGAGGTGAGTTCTGACTGTTGAATCTCTTATTCTAAACTGAGACTAGAATTGTTGTAATTATTCTCATTTTGGTTGTCCTATGCCATTTTAGTTGCCAGGATTCTATCAGTAAACCGGGAAGGAAAATTTTGCTATAATATGCTTGTTGAAAAAGTAAATAACATAAATAATAAAGTTGCCCACATGGGATGATTGACATCATTTGTTTCTGCACTGTCATTTTCAAGTAACAAACCTTTAACTTTGAAAATGGTCTGCCAGAACTTCTCTTAAACCCTTCCTTTTGTGTGATATTTTGGGTTTTATTAAAATTTATGTAAAGACTTCATCTTGGAAATGGAAAATAGGGAACTCCGACTTTCTTTCTTCATGGGAGATTCTGAAAAGAAAAAAAATCTGCCATGGACTAGTGCTTAAGCTTGACTCAGATTCCTGGTCCTACTGACTTGGAAATCATTTCTTCTTGGCGCATTTATTATGATGTCATAAAAAACTGTTTTTTCAAGTTATTCTAATTTCATCTTCTACCTATAATCAAATAGTAATTCTCTATTTTTAGTGCAGGTATGAAAAGGATATGCTTGCATTTACAGGATGCAGCCATAATTTGACAGCAGAAGAAGATGAAGAGCTACGCAGGATGCGATATGAAGTCAGCCACTGGAAAGAGAAAGAAATAAATGGGATGGAAAGAAGGTTGCTTGGCAATTGCCCATTGACTCCTAGGGAGACTTCCCTTTTGCTCAAAGGGTTGGGTTTTCCATCCAGCTCTAGGATTTACTTAGTAGCTGGTGAAGCTTACGGGAATGGAAGTATGCAATATCTTTTAGATGATTTCCCAAACATCTTCTCACATTCCACTCTCTCCACAGAAGAGGAGCTGAATCCTTTCAAGAATCATCAGAACATGTTGGCTGGTTTAGACTATCTTGTTGCACTTCAAAGCGATGTATTTGTCTACACTTACGACGGGAATATGGCAAAGGCAGTTCAAGGTCACAGGCGATTTGAGGATTTTCAGAAAACGATCAATCCAGATAAGTAATGTTCAAACCTATTCCCTTCCAACTAAATCTAGCATGTCTGATTAGGGTCATTTCTAGTTAATTTCTCACCGATTACATTGATAACATCTAATTAGTGGGGTTATCGTTGATGCAGGATGAAGTTTGTGAAGCTTGTGGATGAGTTGGATGAAGGAAAAATATCTTGGAAGCGATTCAGTTCCAAAGTGCGAAAGCTTCACAAAGATCGAATTGGAGCTCCATATTTAAGGGAGCCTGGAGAGTTTCCAAAGCTGGAAGAAAGTTTCTTTGCAAATCCCCTTCCTGGATGTATTTGTGAAACAGCACGAGAAAAGTAGCCACTGAACGGATAGGTTTTCTTATAATATTGTTGAGGTGCAAGCCCAATGGCTTGCAAAAAAGTGTGGTGCCATTATCCTGACATGTTAACTTGAAAGCAGCCACCTTCATCTGCGAAATTGAGGGATGACTCAGTTTGTCAGCCAGAAAGTGCCCCTGCTCGTACACAGTAGAATCCATGGGCAGGACGGAGCCAATGCAATGAGGTCCTAATTGTTGCAGCTTGAATACACTAGTTACTGCAGATAGGTTTTCTATGATTTTATACTTTTCTCAAAGATAGAACCAAATTGTAGGCACTTGTAACCGTTCTTTTCTATACAGAAATGTGCTTGGTGGTGGAAGATGATTTTGTTGGGGAAAGATTCTGATTGAACTGTAGTGCTGGATATCCATAAATGCAGTTTGGAAATATCATTTTGAAGACATCCTTCCCTTTAAAGTTGCCTTTTTTTTTAAATTTTTTTTAATATTATGTATCTTGTAGTTGCGTCATTATTTTTACAGAACCGTATTTACATGGCAATCTCCAAGAAGAAAAAGAGAAGTATCAATGCCTGCTAAACAATTTTATTTGTAAGCACAGGGAATTGGAAGAAAGCATACTTCCATCGTTCATCAATTTTTTGAGCTTATGCTAAAAAATGATGGAAGTCTGCTCCAAAACAGTCATACTAAATACCAAAATTGAAGCGAGATCCGCAAGGCACTACAGCTTCAGAATAGACTCAACTAGGTCGTACAGAGGTGCAAGCTCTCCTTTGTCAATCAAGCAAAATTCTTTAATACCAAGGCACATGCTAAGACTGCTAAAATTCTTCCACAACTTTCAACAATTCATTTGTAGGAAATGATTTTGAAAAAATGGAATCAGAGATCTGTATAGTTGCTGACAGTAAATCATTAGGCACATACCAAAAAAAAAAAAAAAATCTGTCATGTAACTGGAAATGACATAATCTTGGAAAAAAGAACACAAAGCTCACCCATGTAAAGAGAACAAAATGTTTAAAGCAAGTGTTTAGATGAGCTTCTTCCTTCAAGCACACAATCTTCAGAAAATGTGAGTGATAGATGTGGCGGTGTATCCACGGAATAATCGCTTAAAGATTATCTTGACAACACTTTGGAAATTCGGAGGAAATGGTGTCCCTGTAGCACATTAGAGTTAAATATAAAGATGCCCTTGCAGCATAGATATTTAGATGAAAATAGCCAGTGTTTCAATCAAAATGCAATCGTGTTCTTATCATGAAATTCAACAAACCCAAATTTTGAGGGAAAATCAATTCATCATCAAGCTAAGCCTCAATCCAGTCTATTAGATATTCAACATGTTTAGGAGCAGATACCTCAATCGGCTTCTTAATGGCTACTCCGTCAGCCCATCTATACTCGTATCTAAATGCATAAATATAGGTGAGTACTTGTTTCATAAAAACATGGAAAAGAACAAACTAAAGCACAAAACTGCCATTTTAGGTATATGAAGAATCTCTTTCCATTCAAATCAGAAGGCACGGTAAAAACTTTTACTTAAATAATAAAATTCGGAATATTTGACAAATTCAAAGTGAAAAATAGTATTACTCTCTTAAAAAAGAAGAAGAAGAAGAAGAAGAAAAAACTAAAAACTGCACTGTATTTTTTTTTATATAGATAATTAAATATTAATCAACCATATACATTTGGTGTAATTTCCGTGAAAATCGAAGTCGGTATTACTATTGTTTTTATTTTAATTTTAACAAACATATTTGTAACTCCCGTGAAAATTCTCAAACATATATATATATATACACACACACACACTAAATATAGGTGTAATTTGTATAACATATTAATATCTTTGTAGTTTTAATATATTTGGTGTTCATGTGATTATTTATGAGAATAAATTTTCGGATAACTTAGTTAGTTGTCAATTTATTTTCCCTAGCGCATATCTAGAAGATGCCATGCAAAATAAATAAATAAATAAAATAAAAAATAAAAAATCATCTAAACATTATGAGGGTGTAGAAATTCTTAGACCAAAATACCCCTAGGATTAATTTTTACTCACATCACCTATCCTTTGATTAAAACTTGTCACCTAAGCTTCTAAACTTTTTTACAACTTTACACCACATGCTTTTTAATTAAACTCCGCCACCTAAGCTTCTAATTCCTTCTACCACTTTACACTTCACAAGCTTAGATTAGGACACTTGTTAAGCTCATTAATAAAGGAAGAAAAGATGAATATATATAAGAGAAAACTAAGGAATGGTCGGCCACTTTTAGAAGATTTTAGTTCACAAAAAGAAAAAGAAAGCCAAACAAGAAGAGGGAAAACGGAAGAAGAAAAGAGAAAGAAAGAAAGAAGGAAAGGAGAAGAAAAAGACTACCGGATTTTCTAGGAAACTTGAATCAAGTAGGAATTTATTTTACATCATAAATTAGAATTTCTAAGTGTTTGATTTATGTGAATTCCTTGAGTTGATGATTATGCTTTTATGGGTTGCTTATGTTGATATTGTGAGTTTTGATAGCTTGATATGAGTTTATTGGTTTAACTTGGGTATTTGATGATTTATTGATATGCTTACTCATTAAAGTTTACAAAGCTTTGTTTTATGCCTAAATATTTGTTGTTGGGTTAGGTTAGTAAATTGATGGGCTTGGACCGAAATTATTTGTAGTGAATAATTATTGATGTGGATATGGGAGGAATAAATCCGAAATGGCAGATGATGGATGATGGGTTCCTAGGGTTCCTTAAAGGGTACTATTCGACCTAATTACTTAAATTGAGGATTTTGATGCTTTCATGTGATTAACATTCTAGAGCTTAATTATGACTTAATTAAGTATGAATTAGTGTTTAGGAATGAAAAACTTTACTTTAATTGAAGAAAAATCCACACAAATCCTTAGGTATATTTGACCTAAACTTTGATTTTTAGGCTTTGAGTTTCACTTATCCAACTCTAGAAATGTTAGTTCAATTGTACTTGAGCAAGTATAATTTGAAGTGTAGGAAGATAAACTTTCAAGAAAATTGAAGAAAATGGCTCAAATTAGTTAAAATCTGAATTCGGACATTAAGGCCAAATTTGGGTTTGAGCAAGAAATTATACCTTGAATGTTTAGTCAATTGGTTCTTATGATTGATGTGTACGTAAGCTAATTGGTATCAAAATTATAGGATGAAATCAATGGCATTACTTATTACTCATATGAAGAGAAGATACTTATTGAAGGAGTGAATTATATTGATTGATTAATTATATTTGGTGGTAATTGTTTTCCTTAAATAAATATTATGTCGGATATATGAGACATATATGTGTTTCTATATGTGGGTTGAATTTCAAAAATGGTTTGAGAATGTAGGGTTTGGTACCCATAACTTGACGGATATGGTAAATGAAACATTATTGTGCATTACATGCATTTGTGGATAGATTGAAAAGTCGGATGGTTGAGAATCAATAAGGTTTAGTAACCGAAATTGGATTAAATGAATATTAGCAATAAAGCTATGTGCATGCTCTATTACTTAATTACACCGTTAGGCAATGAAAAATTTCGCTAACCGTGTACTCGCAATGATGGATAATTCCATTATTAGCGGTAGGTGATAAGACAATCACCGAGAGATGAAAATGAAGTAGACTTGCTAATACCTAGGGTACCCGAACTAAAATTAATGGATAAATTTAGGTTAGTAAGAAATCATAGCATATCATGTGTATCACTCTACTTATTGAGCTTTGGCTCATATTGTTATTGTTATTTTCGTGATGTAATAGATAGAGACAAGGACAATTCTATCAAGGAAGTCTGTCGTTTCTCACTAAATGGGCTCATGTGCTACCCAAAATTATAGGAATCTTTTGAAGGGTTGTATATAAGTGATACTCGTTCTTCTATTTGTGGATAGTCGACATCGTAGATATTTTGTAATCCTTATGATCGTAATTATTAATATCACGTAAATTTTACTATACGTAATCCATTGCTTAATATTTTATGTAATTTTGGTTATATAGTAGAGGGAACTAGTCAAGATTTTAGGCTTAATAATTAAACGAACCTAGCCGCTCCTATTTGAAAATAGTAAGTGAGTTATGGGCGTTACAATATTTATGCTTTCTTTTTTTTTTTTTTTTTTTTAGCATACATTCTCTATTAAAACCAATTACTGTACTGGGAAATTGACCCGACTGAAATATCTTACCACATCAAATCGCAGAATATTTTGTATAGATATGAAAATTAAACATACTAACAATTCGATAACTGGCACTGAATATTTGCATCTTCTACAATTTGCATTTCATGTTTTTCAGGTGACTGAATTGGAATTTCGACTAGCCAGTCCTTAACACGCTAATCAATGTAGTGATCTGTTAACATCTTTTCAAGAGTTTTTTCCTCTTAGTAGAAGAAAACTTTATCACAGACATGGTGCAACTGGCACAATAAACATGAAGACCATTTGAGCCCAAAACCAAATGCAAACTCCACTCCTCCCCAAACACATGCTTACAAATGCAGTGAAAGACATTCATGAATGCTCATATATATACTTTCCTTGTCAAGCCATAAAGAGGGAAAACAGAGGTGGAACAGACTTGACATTGATTACATAGAACACAGGACTCACAGAATTAGATCAAGATTGGAGCAATTATGCTCAAACATTTGATTAACTTTTTACCAAAAAAAAACTACATATAGAACTTAATTTAGGGATTGAGAATGATACTTTGGTCCTGCTGTCATTGTTGGACAGTCGGTTGCCGTGCAGAATTCAGTAAGAGTGCCATATAAAAATTCACTTGATTGAAGAAGTCCACGGCTGTAGAAAAAGAACATAGATGAAAAGATCAAGCAAAACTGCAGAAGCTCCAAACATCATTTCCCTTTACAACTAACCACAGATATTTACTGTGTAAAAATAGAAGCACTCCTTGAACTTTTCACATCTATAGATCACTTGCATTCAAAAGTACAAAATGTAGTAATAAAAGTACTGAACTATGGCGCAATATTAAAAGAACTACATTTAAATGAAAGCAATTAATTTTCAATTTCAAAGCCATCATGTTCCTACATGCACCTTTCAGAAATTTGCACCAAGTATCGAAATTTACAGGGAGGAGACACCCCAAAAAATCCTCTGTAAACTAATTTCTACACACATATATACGCAAACATTTGTCTACAAATAAAGTTTCACAGAGTAACATAAATCCTACAATGTGTTGAGGATTTTACTATTCACAGCCAGCCACTCATTGATATCTTCTCCAGGAGGCAATCCCACGGCTTCCCTAAGGTTCCCACTATCCAAAGTAGCATCAATGTGTTTTTGAAGTTGAGCACCCTGCAATTCAATTAATGGTTACATCCATCCTTTCATTCCTTTAACTACATAAATGTATAATACTAACAAAAAGAAACAATCAAAGAGGCCACTAACCTTACTTCCTGACGGAGCATTCTTTTTAGGCCGAAATGTCTTCTGGTTTCTTCAATGATAACAGTCCGATTAGAAAAAAACAAAGATCAAATCCCAAATTTAAGACAATAAGTGCAATCATTAACAACAAAAAATACCAACGAAAAGATGATTAGCAATTACAAAGATATCGAGTTTTAACAATGGTGCCATACAAGAATTATTCATTTCATTGATCGTCATTAACCATTACATAGGAACAGGAAAATATTAAAAAGATAAAGAAAGGTTGGAAATGGAAACAAACAGTAATCAAATGGCCCACAAAAGGAAAAGAAAGAAATACCTGCCGCCAAGACCAAAGAGACTCATTGTGTGGATTTGGGGGCGTTGTGTTTTATTTTCCTACAGCACAAAATGCAAGGCAAGAAGAGCAGAAACCAAATGTGTAAAGACACACAGAGCCATATGTATTAATTAATGACAGAATGGCGAATACAGAGAATAAGCCAGGAGAGGTCTGTCTCTCTCAAGTTAAGCCAAATTGCCAAAGCAGCACACAGCAAACAAAAGATAGAGAGAGAGAGAGAGAGAGAGAGAGAGAGGCTTAGCTCTCTTTCTTTTCTTTTCCATTTGGCAACCTGCAGAACAGGCTGATTCTGTCTCTCTGTCTCAACTAAAAAAGAAAAAGAAAAAAGGTGCTTCCCTAGGATTGATCCCTACTCTTGATTTAGGATAATCCATTTATATGTTTTGATTTTCAATCAAGTGGAAAAGAAATTAGGGGAATAACTAATAGAGTTCGTAAATGAAAGTTGATTTTTTTTTTTTTTTTTTTTTTTTTTTTTTTAAATGGTGGATTATATATATATATATATATATATATATATATATATATATATATATATATATATATATACATATCATGGTTGTACTTTTAGACAATTTATAAGGGTTTAAAGGTATTTTTGGTCCCATTCTATTGTAATTTGATAATTTTAAATTTTTAGTACCAAATTGCGTAATTTCAACTTCAAATTATCGATTTTTGGACATAAATGATTTATTTTTCCTAATTGTCATTATATGTAATGATCAATTAGGTTGATCACCATTTGAAATGTCAAAATGACATCGTTTAAACATTCTCGTTGTTAATTATTTTTTTAAAATATTTTAAAAATATTTCTACCCCCTCTAGTCTTAGAAATTTTTTTAAAAAATTTTTTTTCTTATAAATTATATAAAAAATTTTATAAATATTTTTAACTCTCCCTAACTTTGAACTTTTTTTTTTTAATAATTTAGAATTTATAAAATTAGGGTGTCAACTCTTAATTATGCTCATTTTAATTTATAAAATGTTTTTTTTTAAAGATTTGAAATTGTTTATTGTTAATTATGTTTTTTCACAATATTTTTTTATAAAATTTTATAATATTTTATAAAAATATTTTTTAAAAAATTTTCCAAGATTAGGAGAGTTAAAATTATTTTTAAAATATTTTTTTAATAGAAAAATATAATTAACATCATAATATCAAAATAACGTCTTTTTGATATTTTAAATAATTGTCAATCTAGTTTGTCATTATATATAACAATAACTAAAAAAAATGAATTAATTTTATCTAAAAATTAATAATTTGATATTGAAGTTACGTAATTTGATATTAAAGACTTAAAATTACTAAATCGTAATAGAATATGAGTATAATTTGTTATTAAACCAATTTATAAGTGCATGCATTTAAAAGATAAACGAGGTTATTTAGTTTAGAAATGTAATGAAAGGAGAAATGTCAATTTGACTGCAGGGTGGGACCAGAAAATTATAAGCATCTAGCTGTATAGATTTTGTAATTTTGGTTGGATCAAGCTTTGCTGTTGTTGGCGTTAGAGGACTGAAGACGCATCTCTCTGATGAATTATTATTCCTCTTATAAAGTCGAAAAGACTGACGAGGCTGGCGGACATTAATTTGGTCCGATCATCATTCGTTGTGTGAAAGTTGTCTTGTGACAATAGTCTTACTAATTTCATCAACGTAAGCTTCTCTATCCCAAATCTCAATTAAAAAAACCCAAATTGCAGGTAAAGTAAGTAATAAGGTGTAGATGTTATATTTATCCATACTATTTTAATTAAATATGCATTAATTTATGATATATTTTTTTATTGTTTTGATAAGTGTTCAACCTCTATAACAAATAGACTGAATTGACAATAAATTATTTTTTAGTATAAGTTTTGAGATGGATATGAGTATTTTTACAATATTAGCATCTATATTTTATCTTTGGATACATTAGAAAAATTGATTTGATAGTTTCAAAAAAAGATCCATTAAAAGAAGGCTCGATTGTTATTTTTTTTACCCTTTACTAACAAATTGAAGTAATTTAACCTAAAAGTATCTACTTTCCTTTAAGCCCATTTTATTTTGTTTGGCTCAAATTCTACCATTCAAATTGAGATGATATAATATGATCCCGATAGTAAAAAATCATTATTATTTTATTATAACTATCAACTCCACATCAATTATGAGAAGGATCTAATTTTTTTGGCTTATTTTTAAATAGACAAAGCTTCTCTCAAAGCTCTCTATCAAAGCTCTCCCACACAACTCTCAAAGCTTCATATGTGGACTTTAATCACTCAACTATTTATGCTTTACTAGCATTGCGTGCTTTTCCTTTTGCATCTCTCATTATTTGTATCCATTCTACTTGGTTGGTGTGTCATTGTTTCTACAAATCACAACACTAACTCTCGACACTTTGGTCAATCTACTAACATCTTAGTGACTTGTTCTTAAGAACCTTCCACACATTTTGACAACTTCACTTATGAGTTAGCGATTGTGAATGAACAATGGCCCATTCAAAGACCTTTAAGAAGAATGTCAATCCTATGACCTACTTATCTCGTGTGCAACAATGATAGAAAGATACTAAATCCTAACAATAATATTGAGAACATCAACTTTCTCAATGTTGAAGGCAACAATAATGCCCAAGTTCTTTAAGCTAGTAGTGGTAGTTTGCTAGTGCTCTCAAAAGACGACTTGTCTCAACGAACTACTTAATTTCGTACCATAGTTCCCGCATAGCTAGGTCTTGAGGTTATGAATAAAGTTCTACTTTGTTTAGATACTCAGCTCAAATTGCAACATGACTACAAACCAGTTTTTCAAGGTCCTATGGGACAACAACACTATATTCACCCAAGCTCTCAATAATATTGTTGGCACCCGATTTTGACCCTTTATTTTTGCAAATTTTCCTAATCAATGCAAAAATGCCAAAAATTAAGTATTTTATTTGATCCGTCCGATTTTTCAAATTTCAACCTTTTTTAGAGTTTTTTTTTTTTTTACGACTTTTATGATTTTTTGCCAATTTGAAAAAATAACCGAGTATGAAAAAAAGAGTGAAGAAAAATAATTAGTGCAAAACAATAAGAAAAGAAAATGAGTGAAAAAAAGAACATCAAGAAAATAAAAGAGAAGGAAAATCAAGGTACACGTTGAAGAAAAAAAAAAAAAAAGAGACCAAGGGAGTCTAATTAAGTGTGCAATTAAAAGCAAAGAAAGCCTAAGAATTGAAGTAGGAAACAAAGAGAAAGTGATGGATCAAAGCTGAATTAAACCTAAACCCTAAAAATCCCGCCTATAAATACCTCTCTTTCTTCCCCCCCCCAAAAAAAAAAGGAAGAAATAATGTTATAGGTAGCTAAAATTTTAACAAGGAGGAGCCATACTTCTTAACCGACCAAACACATAAAAGAGGCGACCCACTCACTAAACATAAAATCCATGATCTAAAACCTACATATATATATATATATATATATATATATATATATATTTTAAATATTTGAATTTAATCTTTATGTTTGCATGAAAATTGAGTGTTATGCAAACATTAATATTGTACTTTGTGCTTGATTGAATGAATGTTCAATTCGTGTAATTTTAAATTATTAAATGCTATAAATGTGTGTGTAACCTAATGACTTAATTGTAATAGCTTAAGAACTTGATTTAAACAATTAAAAATTTAGATATTTAATTAAATCAAGAGGTAAAGTTGGGTTACTATTGTGTAACTTAGAAAACCCAAGAATAAAGATTAATTGTAGCAATTAAAAGTTTAGGAACTAAAGTGCGAGAGACTTAATTAAATTAACTAATAAAATTAAGTGACCAAAATGAAAATTTTTGCAAACTTAGGAGAGCTAATAGTTCATTTAGAATAGGAGTTTTATGCATGAAATTACAACAAAAAATGGATGAAGAGAGAGTTAAGTGATTTGGCCAAAACGAAAGAAATAACAAGAGAAAACAAGAAAATTCTAAAATTTTTTTCAAGCTAAACGAGTGAAAATAATCATAGATGTGTCTTATTAAGTAGCAAAATCTTTTCTTCCCAATAATTCGGCTAAGGAGGAGAAGGTGGAAGGAAATATTCTACACCAAACTAAGCACAATTAACCTTATAAACTTAAGAATTAACAAAGGAAAAACAAAAAAATCACCTAGAATCTTAGTGTGGTTGGGAGTTAGAAAGGAAAAAATTGGCTAAAAGAAAAAGAGGGAATATTTGGTGTTAGGCTGAAAGTTTTGAGAAAGAAAGGAGGAAGGATTTTCAAAGCTTTCAAGGTAGAATTAAAGCTAGCATAATCTAAGATAAGTATAGTCCCAACTACACCATAAGAATTTCATCTTTGTATTATTTGATGATTGATGTTTTAGAATTATTAGGTTTTTGATTTCAATTGATTTAGTCAAATGAGTTAGTGATGTTCATGTTGAATGATGATTTAATTGATGTGATCTTAATGTTAATTGAGGACTTATCATGTTTAGAGTTTTAATTGAGATTTAAATATTGATGGTTTTGACCCATGTGATTTGATCAATCTTAAACTTATGGTTAATTGATCTAGTTTCATGTAATTATGATGATTTAATGTTTATGAGGTTATATGGACATGAAATCATGTGATTTATGGGTGATTTGATCTTGGAATCATGTGAATTAATTAATTGAATAATTAGCATGCCAAATGAAGACATTCAATTTTGTTGGAATTTTTGGTGTCAATTGAATATGTATTCTAATGATTAGTGATTAATTGATTTCTTGGTGTTTTGGTTGATAATTAGGTTACATGATGAATTGAGATTAGTTGGTATGTGTTTAAGTGTTTATTGATTGATATGAATACCTATTAGTCTTTGGTAACTTTCGACCTAGTGATGAAATTAGGGATTATTAGGTTTAATGCATGAAGTATGATTCAACCAAGTCCTATTTTCTATGTTGTTTGATTTATGTTTATGTAATTATGTGTATATAATTGTTTTATGTGTTCTTATTAAGGCTTAATATGTTAATATTAATGTGTGTGGAAATTCATTTAATTGCATACATGTGCATGTCATGAAAGGAATGGTTTTTGTCATATTTTTAAGGAAATGAAAGGAATGACATGTTTTTCGAGAAAATGACTAGACACATTCAAGAGTTTAGGCAAGAAAAATGATCACCCTCTTATGAGGAGAAAGGTAATGGAATGTGTCTAGAGCTTTTATGATGTTTTCATAAAGGAACAATTTTAAAATAGGGCCAAATAAATACACATTCAACATGGTGCATCCGAAGCAAAAAATAAATTTCAAAGCACGAAAGAAAAGATTTTTATTTGCATTGCATGCATGAAATTACTTATTGAGCATAGCTCACCGGTTTATCTTGTCGTGTAGGTAAGAAAAAGGATAAATGATGACATGTTTTGAGGTTAAAGTAGTTTTCGTATGAAGCCCAATTTGCCAATGTGTGTATTTAAAATGTAGGTTTGTAGTAGAAGACAAGAAGTTCTCTTTTCTTTCATGCTTTTGGATGCTCTTATGTGTTCTAGGTTTAATTCTTATGGTATGTAAATTAATGGTACTTCTAGGACAACTTTCATATGCTAATAAATTTATGTGTTTGGTAGGTTATAATTTGGTTTTATGGTTTACATAAATAAAATGGTTTAATATACATAAAAGGTTTAATTAAAGGGTTTAACTATGGAAACAAGGTATTTTTAATTGGTGTCTAATGCTTAAATGCTTAAATGATTCAAAAGCCCTAAACTAGCTTTGAAGAAGCTTAACCTAAAATTTAGCTTCCAATGAGCTTAAATTGAGGTTTTAATCAACGTCATTGATTGAATTTTAAACCTATAGATTTTCTATTAAATTGGAAATTTATAAAATGATTTTATTATTTCGAGGAATTTATAACTTAATAACAAGGTTAATTATTTAAGGATACTTTGTTTAGAAATGGTTTAGTTATTTAGTAAAGATTAAATTATATATATTTGAATATATTTGATTTAGCTGATATATATTTTATGTAAAGGCATTTAGATGTTTTTAATGAAAGGATTTCTATTAAATGATGATGGGTGTCGAATCCAAAAAAAAAAAAAAATTTCCTATTTTCCAAAAATTACAATTAAGTAGCTAGAGTAAATAGGGTCGAATCCTCGGGGAATGGGTTTTTAAATTGTTCAAATTCTTAAGTTGAAAAAAAAAACGATAGGGGTTTTGAAGAATTAATTAAAATTTAAATAATAGACAATACTGAAATTGGATCGCAAATTAAAGAATATCAATCAAAGAATTGTTTCGGTTTGATTCAATATATTTGATCATTGATCGAAAATGTTTCTCTAAAAAAAACAAATTGATTTAAACCATTAAAAAGCTCTAATGATTTATGTGAGAAATCGGAGATCAAAACAAGCTCTTTGACCACACTCTCATCATTTAACCAATTCTAAATTAGCTCTTAGAATTTAAATTAATGACGAGCATGAATAACAACTCACAAAACCAATTCCAATGAATATCACACAAGCTCGGATATTTAAATTGACACAACTATTTTCTTCAACTTGAGTCAATAATTTAATTTCGCTAACTAAGTTGAATTGCCACTAAAATGAAATAGATAAATATATACGAATTGGATATTCCAATGGCACACAATATGAATTCTTAATAAAACAAAACGTCTTTTATTAAATTAAGAAGACACAAGATGAATGAGATACGGAAAATAGATGAATTGTATCAAGAGAAAGATTAAAAAGATCTCACAAATAGTCTTGAATCAAAGCCTCCACACCCTTTGATTGAAGGAAGAAAATCAGCCACTCATGGCCATTAAGATGATGCTAAAAAATGAAAGAGATTTGTTGAAGAATTTTTTATTTTTTTCTAGAACTGCCAATGAGACGTCCGGATCGGAAAAGCTTTTCTTTCTTTATACACATTCTTGAACCGAAAATCTTGGTGAATCTTTCCATGATTGGCTAAGGATGAGTTGGATTTTCCTTTTATTTGAATTCCCTCAAATTAGCTCCAAGAGTCCTATTTTAGCATCAAATCGATCTTTCCTCCTTAGTATTCTACGTTACAAATAAAAGATAATTAATTTTCAACAATTAAGCACACATCAAAGAGAAATATGAGGGATTTATTTAAGATTAATTAGCCAATTTTACTCTTTATCAAACTCCCCCACACTTATACTTTGCTTGTCCTCAAGAAAACTATACTTGAACTAAACTAAATATAAAATTAATCCTAACTCACTTTCGTAGGAATCACGGTTGCATTTAGCATATGCAATAAGCCTTTAAACCCCTAGGTTGCCCCTAGTGGACGAGTTGTGTCTCGTGAGGGTTTGCGACTGATATACCCACAAAATCATTTTTTTTTTGAAATGTGTAAGGGTTACTCAAGATACAAACAACTATGTATAGGTTTATTCATTTAAATTCATAGGTAAAACATACTCACCTAACTTAAATATGCAACAATATCAAATAAACACAAAGCTAAACATACTTGTTTCTATTCATTTTCATCCAAAGGTACTATTGTTAACCATACAAACCTAGCAATCGACATGACCAAATTATACATGACTCCCTCCTAGATCATTCTTCTTTATTCATACAACTTGGGTATCATACTAGGGTGCCCCTTGTTTTTCTTTCTTTCTATGTTGATTCTTTTTTTTTTTTTTTTTGCTAACTAATTCCTTTTCTTCAAGTTGTTCATTACTTGCCTTTTTACGAGAATACAAACATTTGTGATGAATGGACTCGGTTACTTAACAAGTAACATACTCGAAGTGCTTTGCATACTCATATTCTAATTAGAATAGCGAGAATAGGTCATTGGAATTTCAACACATTTTCAGCATTTACATTTATAATTTTGAACAACCCTATTATTTTAAGCCCAAATTCAGATTTAGCTTAAGAGATATAATCTAGGAGTTCATCATACAAGTCATCAATCATGCTTTGCTACTAAACATTTGTATAATTTCACAATAAACACTCTATGAATCAACTACTAGGACTCAAGCATGTTTAACTCTATTTTATAACTAATTGCTACCATCTTAAACTAGGTGGTATACACATCATTTAAGTTCAATTAGGTCCCTATTCATAGTTCAAGTATCTCAAGTAAACACTTATGCATGTTTTTTTTTCTTCTTTGCTTTTTTTTTTTAAATTAAATTAAAAATTCCTTCAACCTAAATGCTAAATTCAACCTAAGTGCTAGATAATTTGTCCCCTCCCCCACACTTAAAACTTACATTGCCCTCAATGTATAACATACAAGCCGAGGACTTCAAAAAAAAAAAAAAAATTAAGGGAGGAAGAAAGAAAAAATGATAAACTTCCACGATCGAGTCGCTAACTAGAGGGATGGTGGTGGATATGGATGTGAGAAGCCAACATGATCGAAGTAGGCCAGCTGATTGTGCACAATTTGTTCTAGTTGTTCTTTCGACATAGCAAGTGTGGTAGTTGTGCTTGGAGGAAGACCCTTCATTTGTTACTTGGTGGCCTCTGTTTTTGTGCACAATCCCGGTCGCCACATGAGGTCCGATTCTATCGATATGATATCCAAAAGAAAAGAAAAATGCCATTGCCATGCAATTCACACAACCAAAGTAATCTTCAATCATCAAGGACAAGTGCACGGTTATGGAGCTGAAATTCCATTTAGCAATCCAAGAAAGTTAACCGGGTCTTTGTCTCTACAAACGAGCAAGAACGAGTGACGACGGAGGTTGAAGAAGCACACTAGTTCTATTACAAAGTATGGGCATGCTTCTTAGAAATTTCACATGTCTTCTACCTAAAAAAGTCACTTGGATAAAAAATTCAACTTGAGTGACGGAATTCAAAATAAATAAACAATTGAAATGCAAAAATTAAATTTATTGGGTTGCCTCCCAACAAGCGCCTTTGTTTAATGTCTTTGGCTAGACACTTCTTGAGTTTATTCGCTATAAATGGCCAGTTCCAAATTCACTTCCTCCATGTTGCATACCCGAAACCCTTCATAATAAGGTTTAAGACGATGTCCATTAACCTTAAAAATTTTATTAGTTGTCATGCTCGAATTTCCATTGCACCATGAGAAAACACTTTAGTAACAACAAATGGGACAACCCAACATGACCTCAATTTTCTAGGAAATAATTTAAGCCTAGAATGATACAAGAGAACTTTTTGGCCAACTAAAAAATGTTTTCTAGAAATCATTTTATCATGAAAAGCTTTTGTTTTCTCTTTGTAAATTCCAGAACTTTCATATGTGTCATTTCGAATTTCTTCCAATTCCCGGAGTTGTAATTTTCTATGATCACCCGCATTATCAATCTTCATATTACACTTGCTTGATTACCTAATAAGCTCTATGTTCTGTTCTACTTGGTAGATGGCATGGCTTACCAAATATCAATCGATACGGGGACATACCTATTGGAGTCTTATATGCTATGCGGTATGCCCATAAGGCATCATCAAGGTGTGTACTCCGGTCTTTTCTACTTAGATTGACGGTCTTCTCCGGAATGGATTTAATTTCTCTATTGGAAATTTCAAGTTAGCTATTCGTCTATGGGTGGCGGGCGATCGATACCCTATGTGTGACATTGTACTTCTTCGGTAAGGCCTCCATAACACGGTTGCGAAGTGGGTTCCACGATCACTTATAAAAGCTCTTGGTGTTCCATACTTAGGAAAAATATAAGTCTTGACAAATCCTACAACACTTTTAGCATCGTCGGTTCCGGTAGCTTTCACCTCTACCTATTTTAAAACGTAATCCACGAGATAATAAAATATATGAATTGCCAAAAGAAGATGGGAATGGTCCCATAAAATCAATACCCTATACTTCGAAAATCTCATAGATTAAAATAGGGGTCATGGCCATTTGATTTCTATTACCTATATTACCAATTCTTTGACAATTAGCATAGGCCTTACAGAACATATAGCAATCATGAAATAGACTAGGCCAAAACAAAAGCACTTTATGTCTTGTCTTTTGGGACCAAAATTGCCACCACAAGCATATGAGTGACAAAATTCAAGGATGGATGGAATTTCATTTTCGAAACACACTCGCGAATTATTTGGTCGAACAATATTTCCATAAATAAGGATCATCCCATACATAATACTTGGAATTACTTTTAATTTTATCTTTTTGAGCACGAGATAAATCATCGGGCATTGTTCCGAGTTACCAAGTAATTCACTATATCAGCATACCATAAAGATGAATGTTGCACATGAAAAAGATGTTCTTCCGAAAAAGAATCACGAAAGGGGTGTTGGTTCTTCATTGGTTACCGACTCGCTCAAATGGTTTGCAACTAAATTTTTAGCTCCCTTTTTATCTCGGATTTCTAAGTTGAATTCTTGTAGCAAAAGAATCCACCTTATCAATCTTAGTTTTGCTTCTTTCTTGGTCAAAAGATACTTCAAAGCTGCATGATCATAATAAATAATCACTTCGACACCCAATAAGTATGAAAGAAATTTTTCCAAAGCAAAGACTACGGTAAATAATTCTTTTCGGTTGTTGAGTAATTTCGCTAGGCATTATCCAAGGTTCTTGAGGCATAGTAGATAGCATGAGTTGCTTTTCCATTTCTCCGGTCGAGAACGACTCTTACAAAAAAATTATCGGCGTCACGCATGATCTCAAATTGTAGCTCCCAATTTGGTGGTTGGATGATAGAGGTCGTGGTTAGAAACTCTTGGAGTTGATTAAAAGATTTTTTACAATTTTCATTGAACTCGAATTGGACATCCTTCCGTAACAACTTACAAAGAGGTTGTACGACCTTTGCAAAGTCCTTTATAAATCATCCGTAAAATCCTACATGACCAAGAAAAGAACGCACTTCCCGCACACAAGTGGGATAAGGTAAGGATTTTATAAGATCAATTTTAGACTTATCAACCTCTAAGCCTCTTGAAGACACAATATGCCTTAAGATTAAACCTTGATCAACCATAAAATGACATTTCTCATAGTTTAAAACAAGATTTTTTCTCAATACATTGTTGCAATACTTTCACCAAATTTTTCGGACATAAATCAAATGAATCACTATAAACCGTGAAATCATCCATGAAAACCTCAATACTATTTTCCACGTAATCTAAAAAGATGCTTACCATACACCTTTGAAAGGTTATTGGTGCATTACACAAACCGAATGGCATACGATGATATGTGAACGTTCCAAATAGGCAGGTGAAAGTTGTTTTCTCTCGATCTTCCAGTGCCACGGGGATTTAATGAAAACCCGAATAACAATCAAGACAACAATAATGAGATTTTCCCGCCAATCTTTCAAGCATTTGGTCAATAAATGGATATGAAAAATGGTCTTTTCTTGTTAAAGCATTTAGTTTTCTATAATCGATGCAAACCCTCCATCCATTTTGGACACGGGTAGGAACTAACTCACCATCATTGTTTTCAATGATCGTAAAACTTGTCTTTTTAGGTACGACTTGAACATGACTTACCTAGTTTTTATCAAAAATTAGAAAAATCATACCAGCATCAAGGAGTTTTAGAATCTTTTTTTTAACTACTTCCATCATTAGCGAGGTTGAGCCTTCTTTGTGCTTCTCTCGAGGGCTTACTTCTTTCTTCTAGCAGGATACGATGCATACATGTGGAGGGACCGATCCCTTTTATGTCCGCGATCATCCATCCAATAGCTTCTTTATGATCCTTGAGTACTCGAATTAATTTTTCTTCTTCAAGATCACTAAGCTTATTGGAAATCACTACTCGGTAGCGTCTATTCATTGCCAAAGTAAGCATACTTTAGGTGATTTGGCAATTGTTTCAACTCCATCTTAGGTGCTCGCAAAATTGAAGGAAAAAGCTTAGTGCGAGATATTGGGAGATCAATATATGCGACGTTTTGTTTTAGAATTCTAAGAGATTCCATTCCAAAGACCGATTCCCTTAAATCTTCTTGTATTGTGAACTTCTCCTCCAAAATTTTAGCTTCTGGGATCAAGACTTTCGCATAAAATCATTTCCAATTCATCTTTATGTGATAATTCAAGGACTCGCTACGTCAAACAATCGATTATATCAATAACAAAAACTAAATCAGTATCATTAAGAAATCTCATAGCATCGGAGATGTTGAACTTAATCTGTTCATCATCGAACTCCATTGTCGAATTCCTTCGAAACATCTATTTTTGTTCTTCGTTGTCTTAAGGAATGGTCTTTCTAAAGGAATGGTCTTTCTAAAAGGATTGGAACAGAATTAGAGGGTGAATCCTCTTCCATATCTAACACTTAAAAATCTACAGAAACACAAGACCATTAACTTGCATAAGGACATCTTCCAAAACTCCTTCAGGTAAGCATTTGACTCGTCGACTAGTTGAATAGCAACGTTAGTTTCCTTAAGAGTTCCGACATTCAAAGAGTGATAAATCGAACTAGGCATCACATTAATTGAAGCACTTAAATCAATCATGGCTTTTTCAATTTTCATGCTACCTATTTTACATGGTATGGTAAACATACCGTGGTCCTTACATTTAGGTGGCATTTTCTTTTGAAGGACGACTCATACATTTTCTCTAATATGAACCTTTTTGTCACCTTTTAGTGGTACATAATTCTTTAAGAAATTTTGCATACCTAGGAACTTGTTTTATGCGTCTAAGAGAGGAATATTTACCTCATTTTTCCGAACACATCCAGAATTTCTTTCTCTTGTTGCTCCTTCTTAGACTTGGCAAATCGGGTTGGAAAAAGGTGGAGGAATTATCATAGCTTGAGGAGTTTGTTTTGGGCTTTCAATTTCTTTTTCAATCTCCTCTTCTATGGCGTTTTTAGGGGCTGCCTTTACCGGTTCCTTAAGCTCCTTCCCACTATGCAATGTGATGGCACTTGCATTTTGTTTGGGATTGACTACGAGTCGAGATGGTAGCTTTCCTAAGCTTTGGGACTCTAATTTACCAACTGTTGTAGCTAGTCGACTCATTTAGTTCTCCAAGTTTTGTATGCTCGGCCTTAGTTTCCTTTTGAAACTATCGTGTATTAGTTGCAAGAGCAGTCATAATTTGTTCTAAAGACATACCTTTCGATTGAGAAGGAAGTGTTGTTGCTAGTTGTTTGGGATACATGGGTCGTTGGAAATTACTTGATCTCCGGCCATAACCGAAGTTCGGATGGTCCCTCCATCACGGGTTGTATGTCGGTGCATATGGATCATATTTTCTTTGCCCTTGGTATCCTCTTACAACATTTGCTCGCTCGGCATTTTCTTCTTGAAGGGCGGGGCACATATCGGTTTCATGTCCCATGTGAGAGCAAACACCATAAGCTTTTACATGTTGGTTGTTTGCAAACATTTTCTCGCACAAGTGAAGTCCAATTGTCAAGCCTTTTTTCGATTGAATTAACACTTACTTCATGTACTTTCTTTAGGGGTTCTTGTCGAACTCCAAACTGCTATGTGTTGGCGGTAATTTTTGATATCA